CTAAGATGACCTGCAGAAGCTGCAAGGGCAACACCCTGATGTGTCTGTTTCTTGCTTGCCCAAGCGGGCCTACAGTAGAAGCTAGAAAGTTGGAACATGATTATCCTCATGTACCTAGAGTAAAGTATAAGGGATCCTGGCCCTAATCATTCCAAATCCATGTTCCAAACTTTCTGGGTTCACTATAAGCCCAAAACCGCCAACACCCCAAAGAAAGAACTGAATCCACCAAACCCAACCATGCCGAGCGTGACCCTGCTTGAGGTCCGGCACAGGAACTAACTAATTTTGGTTGATGGAAGTGTAAGGTATAGGATTTTCGGGTTTAGGATTTGGGGATGGGGTTTAGGGCTTTTGGTCTACTCGGACTACAAGTGCCCCGTAGGACTTTATCAGAGTTGTCGACCTTTGGGCCTAAAGCGTAAGCCATCTTAAACCCCAGAGCATATCCTGAATCAAGCTCCGGCTCCGGCCCCCTTAAAGGGTACTGTGCTATTCTATAAGGTTCGAGCTTCGGGTCACCCTTCAAGGGACTTATAGGGTTCTAGAACCGGGCTCCTAGAGTTCTGGAGTAGGGTCCCCCTTCAGGTCTCTAGAATAAAGCTCCTCGACAAGAGCCAAGCAAGGCCCGAGAAACCTCAGCATCTGCGTTGTTGGCGAAGCGGGCCAGCTCCGTCACAAAGGACCGGGATGGACGACCTTGCGCAATACACGGCTCTAATGGGTAACTGCAGGCCACACAGACGATCGCCGATGCATTGCCCCAAAACCCCAAACCCTACACCTAAAACCTCAAACCGCCTTGATCTACTCGCTCACTCACTCACGCGCTCAGCGGAGGGAAGTTCGACGGGTCTTGCCCGAAATTAACTTAACCACCTTGAGCATGATGGCACATATCATACTTAGGGGCTGAGTGCTCTAGCCCTTTGAACTAGAGTAGGATTACATAAGCCTCACAGGGTTAAAGGTCACCTACTTTGCCCCTAAGTGTAATCAAAATATGTAGGTCCAAGGGAAGAGGGCCCAAGGTCTTCCCCAGCCCGAAGCCTGTTTCAATATTGCTGTATATAATTTTAAAAGGACCCTAAACCCCAAACCCTGGCTCTGAATCACTTTTTGATGTTGGCAATCTTGATGATTCAGGCCGTTCAGGCCCTTCAGTATTCTGCAGGCGAAGGCTTTGATGTGGGTGTGGGGATGATTTGGGCTTGCAGACGTTTCCTGGGCTGAAAACTTGGGGGGGGGGGGGCGGTATGAACCAGGGCTCTTCTTCTAAGGTACCCTAAACCCTAAACCCTCATCCCTTCACCCTAAGCCTAAACCCCTAAACCGCTAAACCCTCATCCCTATAAGCCCAAAACCCTACGTCTTGACACCTAAACCCAAGTGCCTCGAGGCTTAGCGCTAGGGTGCAACTTCAAAAAAGGGTTTGGCTAGAACCCCCCCCCCCCCCACCGACTAGCCTCCACTATACCCACATGAAACTCTATTAACGGCCCTTGGGTCGTCCTGGTTTGGGGGTGGAAGCTTCAGAGGTAGCTGCTTCAAGCTGCTGAAACATTAGGTTACTAGGAGGTGCGTTTAAAGCCCTTGAGAAAATGTTAGTAGGTAAGATCCTCTTTCATAAGCCCAATAAGTGAAAATATGAAATGTCCCAAAGCCCTACCTAGGTTAAGTTATGCTTCTGAGAATCTTCCCCGGCACCTTGTCCAACCGATCCGAGCCCGCTTGAAACTCCGTAAACCACGGTCAAAACCCAAAACCCTAAACCTTCAACCCTAGACCTTAATTGGGTGGTTGTCAAAATTAGGGTCCTTTTTTGGGTATCCTAAATAATAGGTGCCGTATTATAATACGGACCCCCAAAAGGGACCATAATCTTCACAACCACCCATTTTCAGAAACAAGGGCAGGCTCCTACATTGCCGTTTTATGTACTATACTGAACTTAGAACCCTAGCACAAAATGTAATTTTAGCTGTTTCTTAGGGAATATAATAACCAAAAACTAAAAGTTATTTCTAAGTAGCCCTAAGTTTTATGTAGGGAGCCTCCGTGTCTAAGTGGAAAACACCCGGACTTCACGTGCTCGGGCCGACGCCAAACAGGTCGATCATGTTCCTTGTCTATGATAGGGCTTCCCTTAAAGAGTACTGTAGGGTTCTATGATAAGGTTTCCCTTAAAAGGGTACCCTCGGGATTGTTTAGGGTCGATCTCCAGATTCGAGCTGCGGGTTTCAGAATGCGGAGCTTGGGGGCGGGGGCTTCTGGGTGCTTTAGCGATGCTGCACGATCAACCTCCCAGACCTTCCAAAATCCCTTAATTAAGGAATATACCTTAAATTATAATAGTAAGGTCCCTAATATGATTTAAGGTATATTCCTTAATTAAGGGATTTTGGAAGGTCTGGGCTATTGCCCTCTCAAGTTCATGTCCTGCCCTATTCAACAGCTACCAATCAAACGCACCTGCCTGGAAGGGAAGCTCAAAAGTGCAAGGAGGGCTGAGGGTAGTGCCTCGGGTTTCATAAGGCTTTCGGGATTATGAAGGGCCAAGTCAAGTGTCGTCAGAACCTGGCGAATGGTCACGCGCTGATCAAAGCAGCGACGGTGACGCTCCGACACATCCCCGACGCACTTCACGCTGATAACCTGCCGCGCAGTTGCGGGCTTGGGCTTCGCGATTTTAGGCTCCGGTTCAGGCTTGTCAAGCTTAACTGATGGCTGTTCTGAGCTGTTCTCTGCTGTTGGTGTAGATAGTATGCTTTAGGATTGAGGGCGGCCTTGGCACGACGTATGCTTGAGGGGGCATTTTTTTGTACCGTCTGACGATCCGGGAGACGACGGAGCTCCTTCGGGCTTAAGACCCTAAACCCTGCCTGGGCCCCATGAGCCCTCCTTGTTAGGCTTCCCTATTATGACTACATATTATGTCCAGGTTGTTTGGGGTGCAGGTAAACCCGAAATTTTGAGGGCTTCAGGATTTTCGGTCGTAGGGTCCTCGGTCTTCTCGCCCTGCTTGCACCTACGCAGGCCTAAAGCTTGGGCTCGAACCGAGCACATCCCCTCGTAGTCCCTAGATAGTTGCAGAACACAAACATACGCATTGTCATATAATGTACTATATCATACCCCCCAAAACATGTTCGAATCACTAAGGCCCCGGTATTCAACAAATCTGCCCTGTGCACTTCAAAGGCATGATCCCAATTCCTCAGTCAGTTTGCCGTAAAACCTCCAGTCCAAAAGTCCACCATCACACAACGCCCAAACCCCGAATCCGCAGGCTCGCTTGAAGAAACCACTCTAAGGCCTGGGGAAGTAGCAAGCAGGGTTGGACCTACTGAAACTGTACGTATGTGCATCTTCATCCCAATTGAGGTATTGATGACCCTATGCAGCCCTACCCTAAACCGGAAACCCTACTACCAGATCAGCCTTGGCTCCACATACTCAACGTGACATTACCCCACCGTCGATTAGATGCCTTGTCGCCGTCCAACTCCAGGAACTTGAGCGCATCCTGGTTGTTCGGTGTTGAGGTTTAAGAGTATGAGTGTGCTCAAGACTTATAGGGAGTTTGGGGTTTGTCCTTTGTCATTACCAACCACCCTAAAAGGCCCCAGGCCATACCAGAAAGCTCTAGGCTTGCGATGCCTTCAACCTTGGCGGGCTTCGGAGGCTTGCGGCGCAGGAGTGACGGGTGCTAACGACGTGACTCCGTGTGGTTCCGTGGAACTCCGTCTCCTGACAAATGAAGGGGGATATGGGTTCCACACAGGCGCTGTACTGGCTCCAGTTAACAAGACATTGTAAGTGTTCTTTCATAAGTGTTGCGCCCAAGGGTTCTAGAAAGGCTTCTCTACAGGGCGCTGCCAGGGTTCCACATTGCTAGTTCTCCAAATTCGGGTCCCTTTAGGGTCATTCTTGCAAGGTCGCAGAGACTGAAACGAGGTTTCTCTCTACATTCTACATTAGGGTCAAAGGGGGATCATGCAGTAGGCTTCGGGTCACGGACGCGGCAATAATCGGACCCCAGCGACAGCACTAAGAAAGCGAGGCTGCAGCAGATTTAGGGGAAACCCAGAACATCAGCAGGAGAAACAGATAGGACAACCGGCACCTATGCTATAAACCTCACGAAGGAGGAAGAAGCTGCCAGAGCATAAGACCTCGACACCCCAGACCCCAAACCTCAAATAAACATGAACACCCAAGCTCCCAACCCTACCCGCAGAATCCCGGAAAGCTCACAACCCAAGTGCTGCCCAGCTGCATTGACGTCCTGCGAGGCTACAGCACTGCAGCACAGACTTCCCGAGGGCATCACAATCAGTACCACGGTTATCACTGAGTATCACCGGCAAGTTATACCCCGCAACAGGATAAGACGAACAACAACGCTAGGACGACATACTAGTGTTATTGACTACATTAACAAACTACATAATGTGAACATCCCTTTCTACTATTTCAATACTAATAAGCCAAAGAGCAGCAACACACTTGATGCAGGATTAGTGGGATCGTTCCAATTGCATGTCAGTAGGTATTGGTGGTCGTGAGCATGCTGTTTGCGGTGACGACAGTGAAAGCACTTCGTCGAACAATGATAAGCATGAACATCTTCCAAAGAAGCACACAGGCATCTTTTTAAGCATAATTCTGCCTACATAACTCTTCATTCGCTGCAGTCTTTGCTTGAGCTTAGGCATACTTCTTCTCACAGCTTATGAACGTGGATCGGGGTATGCGATGACTTTCATTGTCTCTCTGCAGGAGGTTTTGTCTGCTCTCTGAGAGCCCTTCAGAAGTTGCTTTTAAGAGCCCTCAGGCTTCAGTTTTTCTGTGGAGGGAGGGGAGGGTGGCAATCTGTCTCTGTCTAGGGTTTCAATTCATGGAGATCCTACATCTATAGAAAAGGATACTGTTACTGTTGTTCTTTGTTGATGATGCTCTGCACTTGCTGTGCTCTGGGCTGCCCCCTTCCGTTGTGATTACTCATACAAATCACTGACGATGGAACCGTCCTGGGGCAAGTTCTCCGGGTAGAGAGCGACGGCATCGCCCAGGTCAAACGGAAAGTCAACGCCCTGACAGAAGTGTTCAGAACGGGCACCTCAAAGGGATTGGGGCTTAGGGTTCAGAACGGGCACCTAAAGTGTAAACAGTGCAGCAGGAACCTCACGCGCAAGTTTCCGTAAACCTTGAGGGATTAAAGCCTAAACTCTAACATACTAAATCCGAAACCCAAAAACTGCAGCAATGTTTCAGTTCAATGGGGCAACCCTAAACCTTAACCTCTACCCTAGACCGTAAGCCCTGCCCTAAACCCTGAGCCCCTTTGCTCAAATCCAAGCCCTAACTCCTCGCAACCCTGAACTCTACGCCCTGAACTATACTGAACTTAGAACCCTAGCAATAATTATAATTTTAGCTGTTTCTTAGGGATTATAATAACCAAAAATTACAAATTATTTTCTGAGTACCCCCTAAGCGAACCCTAACTTTTGTGCCGCGAGCTCTCGCCAAGAGCGCTTCAGGACTCCGACTTCAAGGACCACTGCTATGCCCTAAGCGACAACCCCCCCTACTTTAGACCCAAGAAAGTATGACTGGGTTGTAGTTTTGGGGCTCTGAAAAGTAGTTATGAATAGGTACCTCTATAGGAACCACAAAGGATATTAAAAAGCTTCCCGGATTGCCACCTAGATGAGATGAAATTGCATCCGCAAACAAGGACCCCTGACAAAAGACAGCCGAGTTTTCTGTAATCCCGCTTTCATTTTTGGAAACTTCCATGTATCCAACCAACCATTCGCCACGAGAACGACCACGACGATCAAAAAGACCACGAGATGGATTAGAAGGACCACGTTGCACCATTTGCTGGTCGGGTTCAGGGGCGTGACAAGAGTTCTTCCCCCCACGTACTGGCATGATTCAGTGAAACCTCACCACAGCGGGAGCCAGTGAAACCTTCCGAGTGCACCTGGTGCGGGCCTCGCGGCTGTGCCGACCAAACTCTCTCGACGATTAACTTACGAACCTCTTAGGTGTTTCTCGTGCGCAGTTCAGACTCGTGTGCCTGAGCTACTAAGCATCCTTCTATCCTAGTCTAGTATACTTTAGTAGGGTTAATATCGAGACTACAATGGGACCTCAAGCACCCTGACCCTGGACCCGAATCCCTAATACCCAAAACTCGAATCCCTAAACTCCAAACCCTAAACGCCAAACCCGAAACCCGACTCTCTGAAACCCTACTTGGAGGTTCATGGGTAGTCATAAGTGGGGTTATAAGTCCCCTGTCATGGCTTATAAGTATAGTTACCCGACTTATAACCCTACTTATAACTACCCATGAACCTTCAAGTACGCCCTAAACACTATACCCTTATAGAATCCCTATGGATCCCTTTAAAGGGGCCCTTAAAGGAAGCTGGAAGATCCTCGCCTGGAGGCTCAGCGCGACGTGGCGGATGTCTCGCTCGTACTCGTTGGGGGTAAGACCTTTGCACCGTTTGTTCAAAGCACTTTCCCCAAACCTCGAGGGACGTTATTCTGGGGTCCTTAAGGTTTCTAATTAGGGCCCTAACTATGAGGTCAGTTGAGGGATAGGGTTTAGGTTTACGAAACCCTTTCAAAGAGGGGTTTTGGGGGTTACTTTTTGGATCCTCCCGACATTTGGGCCGAGCCTGCAGGGACCTTATTATGGGGTCCTTAAGGGGTCTAGGGCCCTAACTATGAGGTCCTTGGAGGGATAGGGTTTAGGTTTGCTAAACAGGGGTCTGTTGAGTATACAAAACCCTTTTAAAAGGAGTTTACAGTTCAGAGGGATTTGTTATTGCATTCTGTTTATTCGGTTTTGGGCGTGTGCGATGAGGGAAATCAGGGTTCATGCCGTTCATCGTGAAGCCGGGTTGTCAGAACGGGGATCTCAGAATAAAAGCTTCATCATTATCATCATCATCAAAGCCAACTTACGAACCCAAATCGAGCAGAGATGAACCTAGACTTCATAAAGCCGTAACCGAAGCCCCAAACCAAAACCCCGCAACCTTGATCTTTGGCTCCGAGAAAGACATCAAAACCAATGCCCTAAACTAAACTTCCGATTGCACACCTTCGAGCTGAGTATTCTAGTGCAACAACACCCGAAACCCTGAATCCCTAAACCCTAAAACCCCTAAACCCCTACTCCTAAAACCCCTAAACCCTAAACCCCTAAACTTCCTAAACCCCCAAACTTCCTAAACCCCTAAGTTTTCTTGTCCAAGGTCGGGCTTAGGGTCTCCGAGCTCTGCCAACTCGGCTGCAACCAAGGGACGTCGGTTCTCCGTCACCTGGGCTTAAGGCTTAAGGCCTTGGAGTTTAGGGTTTAGGGTTTAGGAAAGTCAGGGGTTAAGGGTTTAGGGTTATAGGATGAAAGATCAGGAGGGATTGCAGGCTGCTGGGCTTAGAGGTCTAGTGAGGTTAGGGTTTAGATGATTTTAGTCTTCGATCGAGGCTTCAGGCGTTGGGGTTTAGGGGTTTAGGGTTTAGGGAGGTCAGGGGTGCAGACAAGGATGCGATCTGGGACCCAAGCAGAGAACACCATGTGCCAACTTAAACCGTTGCAGCAAATATGCGAGTTGACGCGCAAAGACCGCCCTGCAACTTGTGAACCACGTGCTCCCCATTTGGTGTTGGGATGAATGTGCAGTGTGAGTGCGGTGAAAATTCAAAGCATGTGAAGAGTGTAAGGTATATATATATATATACATATAAAAACATATGTATGTATATATATATATATAAGCGCACAACATGAAACATGTCTTTGTGTATGTATGTAAATATATATATATATATATATATATATATATATATATAACTACATATCTAAATATTGCAATATCTATATACTAAGACGACACTCCCCCATCTCCTAAACCCGTTTCACCCCCAACCCTGAAGCCTAACCACCACCCTTCGAGCAGGTCTTCAGCTGTTAGGGCTTCTTGCTCTGGCTGTCGGGCCTGGCAGGGTGGTAGTTACTGTTCTTCTGCGGCTTCGATTTTTAGGGTTTTCTTTTCTTTTTGAGGGCTCTTTTCCAACTGGTTTAGGGTTCAGGGTTTTTGCCTTGAGTTTGTGCAGTGCTGCGTACACTTATGGGCTTAAGCATGAGATTTAAATGCCCGCAACCTTTCAAAGTGTAACTGCTAGTAAGTCGTGTGGCCGTGAGCAGCTGCGCTCCCGGAGGGACCATAGCAGCTGTGACGGCAGCAGCCTGGGCTGACAGCTGGGCGGAGCCAACCCCAGAACCCTACACAGAACCCTACCCTAAACCCTAAACCCTAAGCCCTAAACCCCAAACTCTAGCTGTGTCCTTTTCTAGTCAGGCTTGGGGCAGAACATCCATGAATGGCCGATCGCGTTTACAGAGTGTCGATGAGCTGGCTTCACAGTTTCATGCGGCTTACATGCACTTTTTCGGCTCCGCAGTAGCTCCTAGCTACTATAGTATGGTGCCCATGTTGCGACTGTTACTATTGACTTTCAACGACGAGATTCACAATCCTACACCCTAAACCCTGGGAGACCTTGATTTCATAGCTTGCTGTAGTTCTCTCATCTGGGAACCTCTCGGTGCTCTGGAGACAAGGCACTCAGAACATGGACGGAAAAACATATACACACACACAACCTCGTTTTTACTTTGGTCTATACATGTAAATCTGGGACAGTGTTTCGAGATTGGGGTTCAGGGATTAGGGGTTGTGAGGCTGTACATCTATGTATGTATACCTTTTTTGTCTGCAATTGTACACGTATAGATTTGTTTATCGAGCTCATTTTCCCATCTGCCCAACCTTGGAGATATAAGTATTTATGGTTCAGGGTTTCGGACAGTACAGGGTTGTTACACCGTCGCCTTGCGGATCCCTGTATAGCCCCGACTTGTTTGGCTGCTAGCTTCGGCGCATGGCGCATGTCTTAGAATCATTGAATCAGTGAGCGAACCCAGAGAGAAGCAACATAAAACGCCAACACAAATTATAGCCTACCTCATGCATCCACACGCGCACCTTCTAAACAAGACTCACCGAGCCCAAAGCATTCTCGTGGTACTTCACCTCGAAGAGCGGCGTCTTCGGCCTGGACGAGCTGGTCGCTGACCGACAACAACACAAACAAACACAAATCTTAGGAGGCAACTTCGTTTCCGCGGGTGCGAAAAGCTATGATGGCTTGAGTTGCCTCGACGCGGTCGTATGTCCGTCTCTCAGAAAGCCCCAAGAGGTCTAGGTTCAGGGTTGGCGGTGTAGGGTTTACAGCTTGATCAGGGATTCAGAGCTATAAGGGTTTTGGGTGGTTCAGGGGCTGAGGATTGAAGCTTCGACGCCTAGCCTAAACCCTAAACCCTAAACCCTAAACCCTAAACCCTAAACCCTATACCCTAAACCCTAAACCCTATACCCTAAACCCTAAACCCTAAACCCTATACCCTAAACCCTAAACCCTAAACCCTAAACCCTATACCCTAAACCCTAAACCCTAAGCCACGAGCTCGAAACCTGTGGCTTTGGGACTTTTCGAGTTCTGGGTTTTGAAGACGCGTGCTATGTACTCGCAGTGCGTTCTGGAGCATGCCACCTGTAGAGTTCAGGCTTTGGTTACCTACTTCTTTCACAAATCCTATACCTTAAACCACACCAACCCTATACCCCGGACCCTAAATCCTAAACCCCCGACAAACCCAAAAGCCCCAGACCCTTAACTGTAAATCCTAAACCGTAAACTCTAAATCCTCAACCAAAAATTCTCCGAAAGGGGACCTTTGGAGAGGAATCCTCCAATTCCTCAACCCTAAAGCCCAAATCCTTCAAAAAGGTATGCTTAGAGGAATCCTCCCGAAACCCTATGATGACTATGAACCCTAAGCCCCAAAAACCCTAAACCCCAAAAAACCGAAACCCTAAACCCCAGAAACCCTAAACCCTAAAAATCCCAAACCCCAAGAACCCTGAACCCTAAACCCTGAATCCCAGAAACCCTGAACCCTAGGACCTAAACCTTCGGCCTGCCATCGTCGACAGGCTCTGGAGCCTTGATCGCCGCCCAGAACCTTGGAGTCAGGCTCACGGAATTTCGGGGTCGACAGGTCTACCTGGACCCTATAAAACCTTCCTTTTTGGGGGTTCCCTATTATGACTTCCTTATATAATGTCCTTAAAATGGTGGGTCTTTTGGGGTCCAGGTAGGGCTTGGGGCTCGGGTTTGGGGTTTCGGGATAGGGCTCAGGATTCGGGCTTAGGACTTCGGATTAGGATTTGGGCGGCTGCGGGTTTAGGGATTCGTGTTTCGGAGCTTGATGGTGAAGGTACGTGAAAGAGCCACAAGTAATTAAGACAAAAGATGTTGGTACCGTAGAATTGTTGTAGATACATCCCTGTTATTCTAGAGCCTGAATGCTGCACCCAACAGCAAGAACGCCCGAACCCAATACTGAAGCATTGACAGCAGGAGACCTAAAACCCTCAAACCCCCCTCTTATCCACAACCCCTCAACCGCACCGAAAGCATACTAGACCCAAGAGTAACCTTGGAATAAGAAGGGTGCCCTTTTTTGGGTTAAAGGGTGTTAATAAGAAAACCTAAACCCTAAAAAATGGGAATAAGGGCTTACTCTGGGTCCTAGCCTACCACTATGGGCTATTAGACCTTATGGGTACCTTAATCTACCCTTAATAGGGTCCTAATAGGGATCTTTAGGAACCCTAAACCCTAAACCCTAAACCCTAAACCATAGTGGTAATTACACAGTCCCAGCCCAAGAAGCTTTGGAAGCCAGGCCGTAAATCCGGTCTCCCACTTGTCCTAAGCCAGGGCCCATGGGCTCTTGTTTAGGGTTTATAGGGTTTAGGGTTTAGGGTTTAGCTTTTAGGGGTTTAGGGTTTAGGGTTTATAGAGTTTAGGGTTTAGGGTTTATAGAGTTTAGGTTTTAGGTTTTAGGGTTCCGGTTACATAGGCCCATGGGTTCTTGTTTAGGGTTTGAAGTTAAGGGTTTAGTGTAACTTACATAGTCAGGAAACCATATCACTTGCTAGAGATCCTTTCTGTGGCAATTTAGATTAAGCTCCAACAAGAAACCAGGACATGTTTCCGGGCCGCAAAGACATTTGCGATGTGGGCACTCTTTCGACTGCGTATGTAAGGCTAGGAAGGTGGGTTATGGAGATTATTGTAGAATGGAAGCTCCTTATATTTTTCAGACTTCATATGGCCCTAAGGGTCCATGTACACCCTGGGATAGGGCTTAGGGCTATTTTGGATCAATGTTTCAAGGTTTACCCTCCAACCGGTCTAAACAGAATCCGGAATCTAACCCCCCATGCAAGCATTCGGACATTCTCGGATGGCCCTTACACTTGATTGTGAAACCCCAGTGCGCTCTCCATCCGACTCCATTCCCGAGCCGGTGGAGCTTGAAAGCCACTGGACATAATGCCTCCAGGGACCTGATTATGGGGTCCTTAAGGGGTCTAGAACCCTAAATATGAGGTCCTTGGAGGGATAGGGAAACTCAAGTACCGCCGACCACGAGGCCCTAAAAACTGTATCATAATCTTCAGCCCGAAGAGCCTCCTCCCAAACCTCCAACACAAAATCCGATGAGCCCGAACGTCTAAACCACAAAACTAGAAGCCTAACCCACCCTGATCAAACAGCTAAGGCCCTAAAGCAAACCGCCTCATACGCAGCCCCCTGTAGAACTCGTCTCGGATGACTCTTGCAGAAATCCTGATCGAAACTGCAAACGCTCTACAGCTGTGGCCTCGTCGCGATCATCGCCGATGCCCATGTCCAAGATGCGCGTAGCGCCTCCGTAGGACGAATGCAAAAACCGTATAGAATAATTCGACTATAAAAGGTCTTGGGGTATAGTTTACAAATTAGACGTACTATAAATAGACTATGAAGGGTCTTGGGGTCTAGTTTACTATGATCAGAAAGAATGCAAGGGGAGAAGTCAGTAGTATTGCGGCGTCTTGAGGCCTTATCTAGGGTTTCAGGGCTTTCGGAACCCTAAACCCTAAACCCTAAACCCTAAACCCTAAACCCCTAAACCCTAAACCCTAAACCCTAAACCCTAAACCCTAAACCCTAAACCGTGGCATCGGGGCCTCAGGGCTTTGGGGCTTTTTCAGGGTTTTGTAGAGCTCAGGCTCCCGAGGCTTAGGGTACTGTTGTGCTTTCCTGTCGCCTTATGGGTAGTTGTCAAAATTTAGGGTCCCCTTTTTGGGTACCCTGAAAATTAAGTGCCGTATTATAATAGGGACCCAAAAAGGGAACATCATTTTGACAACCACCCTTATAGTGAACCCCAGAAAGTTGGAACATGGATTTGGGATGATTCATGCTGGGATTCCCTTTAGTTTACTATGGGGCTACTGATGTTCCAACTTTCTGGCTTCTACTGTAGGATTTAAGCCTAAAAATCTGAACTCTAATTTAAAGTTCAGATTTTTAGGCTGGAACTTCTGGGGCTTTGCCTCAAAGAGGGTGCAAGGATTACCCCAGATCTGACCCTATGCCTACAGGGACCTTATTATGGCATCCTGAAGGAGGGATCTGGCAATTTCCGAAAATCAGGGACCCTAAGATAGTACCCTAAATAGTAGGATCCTTTTTAGAAGGACCCCAAAATAAGGTACCCCTAATTGTCGGAAGCCCCCATTTGGTGAAGCCTTAGACTGGAAGGTCCAGAATTTAGTGTTGAGGGTTTAGGGTTTAGGGGCTTCGGGTTAGAGTCTTCTATACTGAGCTTGGGTTAGAGTCTTCTATACTGAACTTGGAACCCTAGCAAAGGTTATAATTTTAGCCGTTTCTTAGGGATTATAATATGTAACCAAAATTAAAAAATGCTTCTAAGTACCCCTAAGTAAGTCTTAGTCTTGGGCGTAGGGACTTGAAACAGGGACGAACAGACTTAAACAACACGCTCCAAAAGGCCACGCAGCCCCTAAAGCCCCCCAAATCAAAGTCCATACCAATCCCGAAAGCCCCGCACAACGGGCAAACAACAAACCAACCAACTAGGAAGGACCCCTATGAAGTACTGCAGTTGCTTCGGCGCCGGCCTAGCTTCACGAAGCGCTCTTCGATCTTCTTCGCTGCCTGGACGTTTCGGGGATTTGGGGTAGGGGTTGCTACACCCAGACCTTCCAAAATCCCTTAAGTAAGGAGTATACCTTAAACCATAATAGGATGCCTAATATGAGTTACGGTATATTCCTTAATTAAGGGATTTTGGAAGGTCTGGGCACAACGGCAGGAAAACCGGAGCAAGCCTGCGGCTTAGGCTTCAGATCAGACCTGTATATGGGAGTTTCCCAAAATAGGGAACCCTAATATAGCACCCTAAATAGTAGGATCCTTACTATAAGGACCCCCAAATAAGATACCCCTAATTTTTTGGAAACTCCCTTTGGGTTTTGGAGGGAGCCTACTCGCCATAACTGGTGGTAAAGGTTTTGGAACCATGTCAAACTTGCCAACAGCTTGGGGTGTGGCTTGGGATGTACAGAGGCTGTCCCAGATTAGGCTAGGATTCCCTCCGAGGTGTCTGCATCTCTGTCATAACCTGGGTTGTTCTACGGGATCATGCCCCAGATAGGCTTAGATTGGCCCTAAAGCCGTTCGGTAGGCATTCTATTCAAGCCGAAACATATACGACGCGACCGTCAACCCTATGATGTCTCTATAAAGTGCTTACCAACCCTTGTGCAACCCTATAAACCCCTGAATCAGTCTTGTTGCGGCTCCTTTTCCCCACCTTCGCTACAATGCCTGGGAGACGCGAGGGTTACGAGTACGAACGTCCGGGTTTGGATAGCTGACAGGCTTAAATCCATCAGCAGCCCGGCATCATTTGCAACCTCGTGGCTTATGACGGATGGTTCCGATGGAGGCAGCTTTATTGGGCGTGTATGTATGTATACATGTTTGTACGTACATATGTATGCAGATCTGTCTCTCTCCATATATATATATACACACATAGATAGATAGAGAGCTAGATAGGCAGACAGATAAATAGATAGATTGTGACGAGTAGCAGCGGGATCGCAAACCGATAGCGAGCCTTTCAGGTCCCCGGCAGGCAAGCCACTGGACTTACTATACTGAACGTAGAACCCTAGCAAAAAATATAATTTTAGCTGTTTCTTAGGGAATATAATAACCAAAAATTAAAAACTGTTTCTAAGTACCCCTAAGTTAAGCTAGCTCTTGCAAGGGGCTTTCTTGGAGGCTTACAGAAAACCCCATGCCATAAAGTTGGAAACTGGATTAAGGCCAAATAGTGCTGGGATTCCCTATACATTACTCTTAAGGATGGAGGCTCTGGGGTTTCCAACTTTTAGGCTTTTAGGCTTCTACTTTATGATGATGTGGCGCTGCGATGCTACACTGGCTTGTTCAATCTCGGCCTACAACCTGAGCTTTGATCTAGACTTGATATTTTACATCCTAGGCCGATAAGCAACACCATCCCGGCTCTCAAACTCTGCACGTACGGGAAAACTCAAGGGTGCGAGCCAACATCAGAATCTTGGAAGCCCTCGTTCTGCATCCTCCACATAGAGAGCTTAACTGCTCAGATTCGTGGCTTGCAGGGTGGGTCCCTACCACCCCAAGCCCTGAACCCTCCATGGGGTGGCCTCGCAGAAAGAGTCATGATAGGATCGGTCGCCCATGCCAAAGACGCAGAAGCGAACGCCGTCGAGCTCCTGCACTTTCCAGGTCAGCCTTTGCAATAGCATGACTTGAGCCCAAAGGGTCCAAAGTACCGATATAGTAGAATGTGGGGTTTCCATATTAGGAATTACTATTTTGACTTAGGGAAGTATCCCCCATAACAATACATCGGAGCCGTTGGGGAGATCTAACTTGGAATCTCCGACGCCACATACTGGGTTCTTGTTGAGGAATTGAATTGAAGCTACACTATCAAGGACACCATATTGTTTTCCTCTTTCATCCCTGTCATGGTAAGTTACGGTAAGGTATTCCTAAACAAGCCGAGGAGCTGCAACAACAGGACATGTCGTTTGCACTACGATGCATATGTGTGTGTGTATATATATATACACATACATGTATATATGTTTGTACACATCCAGTTCTTCTTTCAATTACCATACCGTTATTCATGTGTATATATACACATATTCACCCATCAGTTCAAAAAGCTGAACAAGCCATCAACACTCAACCAAAGCACTGAAACTTTACACCCTACAGCGACCCTGAAAATGAACATGAACACCTTAAGCCCTAAACCCTGAACCCTAAATGAACGACCACCCTCAAACTCTGTATCACGCTGCTCCTTGGGCGCCAGAGTCGTCGAAGAGAGGCTGCCTTACCAGAACGACACGGCTGCGATACTATAGCCACATAAGCTGCCCCAAGCTACTCTCGTGAGAAGTTTTATATTTGGTTCCAAAATAAAAAGTAGTGCATTTATGATCGTTCAGGGATTCACTTCTGGGTTACTGTGAGAAGTTAAAACAATCAAGATCACCTTGGATGTGAGGCTGGATGGTGGAAGGGGGGGGGATAAGCCCTAAACCCAAACTCCTAAAAACCCCCGAACCGGGGGAGGTTCATGATGACGCACTGGCAGGAAAGACATATAGATAGCATGATACCCATAAGCCGGTAACGCACTGTGGTTTAGCGTTTAGGCTTTAGGGCTTAGGGTTTGGGGCTCTAGATAAGCAACTGGGCCCCAGGCCCTAAGCGCTATGGGGAGTCTGACATCCGACACACACACAGTCCCTTTGACTCTGATGTGGGAGTTTCCGAAAACAAGGGACCCTAATCTAGTACCCTAAATAGTAGGATCCTTATTATAAGGACCAAATAAGGTACCCCTAATTTTCGGAAACTCCCATGTTTGTATCGCAGACATGACGGTTGACAATCCTTGCACATGTGAATCGGCCGCTATATTCCATTCTACCCCTACCGTGGTTGTGAAATTCTTGATACCGCTTCGGAGTTGCCTAACTGTGCAGCATCAGTGTCGTGTTTCCCAAAGGGTCCAAAGTACCTTTATAGTAGAATGTAGGGTCTCTATATTAGGAATTACTATTATGATTTGGGGAAGTATCCCCCATAACAGTACATCGGAGCCTTTGGGAAGGTCACCTTCAGCTTTGTAGCATCTAGGGGCTGATCAGTGTCGTGTTTACTTACCTTTGGTTAGTAGGGAATGGAAAAAGGGTAGTAATAGTTGCTATAATTATACCCCATTCCTCCATTCCCTACTAACCAAAGCCAAGTTTATGATGCTGGCAAGCTGCTCCAGAACAATCCGGCGTTCTGCGGGAAGTCGCCGTGTCCGCAGGTGGAGCACATCCTCGGTCACTAATATAGGGGCCTTAAGAAAGAGAACAGGGTTCCCTTTTAAAGGGGTCTATATAACGGATACTATAAGGGAGCTATAAGGGTACTATAATGTAGGGGCCTTAACAAATAGAACAGGAATTTGGGGCCCATAATACTATAATCATAATAAGGAGCCCTAACAATAGTATAGGCAATGATTTAGGCCCATAGATTATGCCATGCAAGCCCAGAACTTCTGCGCCACACCCTAAACCCGCGAGAGAAAGAAGCTAACCCCTAAATCTCAAACCTTAAAACCCTCAAAACCGAAACCCCAAAACCCCAACTCACCCTAAAGCCCTAAAGCCCTGAAACCCTAAAAGCCTAAACTCTAAGACCCTATGACCCTATGACCCTTAACACTTGTTTTGTCAGGGAGGTCACAAGACCCACAACTGGGGTTCCCCAGTAGCCCCTTAATCATGATGGCGCCCCGTTTCCTACTAAGGGAGCCCGAAAAAAACGAGTCCCTAAACCTTAAATCCTGTACGTAATAGCAATACACAAAGGGTTCAATCAGCAGACTAAAACATACTGTGAAGGCCGAAACCTGTACTAAGAGCCTACTATATTGGCACTTAGACCATTTGGGGAAGAGGGATCCTAAACCCCTAAACCCCAAACCCCAAATCCAAAACTCTAAATCCAAAATCCTAACTAAACCCTATGGCAAGGGTTCTGCTGGGGACCCCAAAAAAGTTCGCCCCTAAACCCTAAAACCCAACAAACCCTAAGCCCATGCTGGGGAACCCAAGAAAGTTCGATCTCGTGGAATTCAAGGAGTCTATACTGAACTTAGAACCCTAGAAAAATCAAAATTTTAGCTGTTTCTTAGGGATTATTATAACCAAAAATTAAAAAACATTTCTGAGTACCCCTTGGGTTGCCATGGGGCACAGGTCTCCCGGACTCTGCTCTCTCTCTGTGTGCGAAGGTTTGAGGGTTTTGGGGTTCAGGGGCTAAGGGGTTTCGGGCTTTAGGGTTTGGGTTTTTTTTTTTTTAAGGGCTCCTTTTTGGGTCCGCACGAAGTGTACCAAAAGGGTTTGGGGTTTAGGGTTGAGGGCTTCCGGTTTTGAGGGTGTGGGGTTCAGAGTTTCGGGCTTTCTGTGCTTCAAGAGCGAACCATGAATCTACTCTGCAGCATGTCAAAGGGTTAGGGGTTCCAGGGTTTGGGCATGTTTCAAGAGTGCGAATTCTAGAGACACCTTGTACAAACTCCGAATGTTTTTTACAAATAGAAACTCAGGAGCGACAGCAAGATCAAAACACGGGAACCACAGCCAACCATAGCGAACAAGTAGTGAACAACTAGGAACATGGGAAAACAGACACGAGTTCTGCGTTCATTCTCATGTTCGTTCTGTTTGTCCCGTGTTTCTTTCTTATTCACAAAAATGTCGGCTGCTAATGGTTCCCTATGTTTCCCTTGCTTCTGATGTGACGCGACAAGATTCAGCATAACACATGGACATAACATAATCTTCGAGTCTTGGATCTGGAAACGAGAACCCACTGAAGATATCATGTCATATATGCTCTGACAGATTGATCAGACCTTGCGGTGCTTCAAGTGCTTCGTTCTTTGATGCTTTGATGATGAGTTTAGACTCTAAAGAGTCCAAGATGCACGACCATAGTCGCACCAAGCGCGGCAGCCTTTTTCAGCTCGTGTTTAGTCTACTTTTAACAGTCCAAACCCTAAACCCAACACTTGCGGGTCGAGAAATCAAGGTGCACTGTCCGTGTGGGGAGTGTTCGGCTGCGGGCTTGTCATGTTTGTGCATGGGTTACATCCAAGAAGCTGGGCTTCAGACATACCCATCCCTCCAAGGACCTCATAGTTAAGGCCCTAGACCCCTTAAGGACTCCATAATAAGGTCCCTGGAGGCATAGGGATAGGTTTCTGGGTCTCTTGGGGCTAAGCGGTTGCCGGGGGGGCTGCACTCGGTCTAGCTTGGCAGGGGCCAGGACTCTCGGTAGCGTTTGTAGGCTTATACGATTGATGATATAAATCCTGCATTACCTTAAGGACACTAAACTATGGGAATTATGGTATATTCCTTATGATGGGTCATGCAGGATTTATATCATCAACCGTAGGACTTGCTTCTGTGACTCTGGAATGTGAGAAGTTCGTACCGGAGATTAGGCAGGGGCTGCGTTGCAAAGGGTGCAGCATGTAGACTAGACGACCATTTGGGATCATCCGGCTCGGGGAATGCTGCGGATTGGTGGCTTCTGGTGGTTTGTAAACTTTTGTGTCTTGGACATACTAGCGACCACGCATAGGCGGTCCCCTCAATTCGCGTCTTGAACCCTAAACCGATTCTTGCTAATTACCCTTCCCCCTGAAACCACAAATCCTGAGCCCTAAACCCTAAACCCCCTAACACCCTAAAACCCTGAACCCTAAACCCTCTGACTCTCAAATCCTAAAACCCTCCTAAACCCTAAAACCCTAAACCCTAAACTCGGAAACCTAAACCCTAAAGTTCAAAGCCTAAGACCCTAAAAGAGACCTAAGACAGCGCCTTAAGCTCCTCCATGTCGCTGATCTCATCGAGGTCGCAGGTCCGGCGAACCTGGCTCCGACCCAAAGAGCGATCTATGTATACATATATATATATATACTTATTTATTTATCTATATTCTTAAAGGGCTCCTTTTCGATCTATAGGGTTTAGGGTTTAAGGGTTAAGGGTTTAGGGTTTATGGGTTTGGGATTTATGGGTTGGGGTTTTATGGGTTTAGGACTTATGGGTTTGGGATTTATAGGCTCTGGTCGCTAGGATTTATGACGAATAGGTTTGCTTTCTACTTGGGGCTTAGGTTGTAGGATTAAGAGTTTAAGGTTTGGGGCCAGTTGAGGGTTTAAGGTAAAGGGTTGTAGGGTGAAGAGTTTAAAGTTTAGGGTTCAGGGTTTAGGGTTCAGGGTTTAAGGTGTATGGGGCTTTGGGTTAGGGCCGGTTTCAAGTTCAGGGTCTTTCTCAGAGTTTCAGAGGGGGTTGTAGGGCTTCATGGCGCGTTACAAGCTTGTAGGACGTGATGTTCTTTCGTGTCGTATGTTGCAGTCGAGCTTCAGAGGGTGTTAACTGTTAGAGTCCTCCAAGGGTCTGAGTCACAAGCCCCAAGGCTCTCTTTCCCTGCACTAATATAGGGGCCTTAATAACTAGAATAGGATTTTGGGGTATATTCTACAGTCATATTAAGGAGCCGCCACAATACTAAAGGTGATTACTAAGCCCCTATGGTACCGACATGATTCGGGTTACCTGGTGTCCCACGGACACGCGGTCAAAGTCTGAGGCAGTTCGACTCCCTCCTTTGCTTGCGCAGAATGTAGAGGATCAAAGGGTTTCTGTGCCGTACCACTCTTGTAAAACATCGAGGCAAAAGAGCAGCAACGTTGAGTGCCGTCACTCAAGTGCCCCACCGCCTGTCGGAAGTGAAGAACCCTAAATGCTTAGCCATGGCAGTGCCAGACACTTCGGGCAGCCTGCTATGCAGAACGGGGCTCCTATTGTGAAGCAAACTAGGTTGCACCCGGAGACTCTGCAAATTTCTGCCAACCCCACACTCTGACACCTTAAAACAGGTGGCTCATGTTTCAAGACTCTGTGGCACTGGCCTTAAAGGGGTCTTTACACGGGCTACTACAAAGCTCCACCTTGAGGCTATCTGCAACGGATACCAGACGGGTTTTGTGATGATTTTAGTGTTTCGGGTGTCTGAGGGTTGAAGCACAAGGGGGCCTATGCACCGATATAGTAGAATGTAGGGTTTCCATATTAGGAAATACCATTATGACTTAGGGAAGTATTCCCCATAACAGTACATAGGACCCTTTGGGAAGGTCACCTTCAGCTTTGTAGCATCTAGGGGCTGAGGGCTTGACGGTTCAGGAGCTGTTGGGGTGTAGGGCTTGGAGGTTTAGGGCGCGCAAGTTTAAGTTTGGGCTTGGAGGTTTTCTGATTGAGGGTGCAGGTGCTTAGATTTGGCAGGTATCGGGGCTCTCGCTTCCTGCGTATCCGCTGTCGACAAGGTCCGAAAGACTGAGAACAATCATGGGGCTGTGGTACATGCTTAACGTATGCTTTTGTCGCAATTTCGGAAAGCAAGCGACCAAAGTACAAAAACAAACAACAACAACAAAACGGAGATCCTCACTATACTTACAGACTCCTGCATCAGGTATTCCGTACTTTAGCTACATACGTGTATGTGTCACCCTGCGAGGTTTCAACATGTCGGATCTCCTCCGAGGGCTCCACCACTTAACCGTGATTCCATGAAAGTCTGACACGCTTTGAGATTAAGGGCCTTTTTTTGAGCTCCTTTTGAGCTCCTTTTTCCCTTGCAACATCCTGGCTAAGATTAAGGGCTTTAGGGTTTAGGGCTTGTACTATCCCATGTCGTTCCCGTCGTTCCCTGTTTACTGTTTCGGCTACCTGGATTCTCTCTTTAAGTCCTGTCAGAGACTTGCCAAACAAAGTTGAATTGATAGCCCTAATAACCCTAAACCTCTAAACCCCAAACCGCATGGGTAATGAGCCGTTGTTGGCCTGGACACCGCGCTCGGCACAAAGTCCTGGCAAGGAAGACTTCGAGCTTGGCGTATGCTAGCAATATGGTTCGCTCTGCTCAAGACACGTTGTGGCCGTACCCTTCCTAAACCCTTTCCGATACCCCTTAACAAGCCGCCAGTAGAGCCTACGTCATGTGTGACTGTCTTCAAAGTCACCAACTCTATAATGCAGTTTCTTTGGGCCTATTCAATTGTTTTCTTTGGCCCGGCCCTTACTTGGAGTCCCAGACTTGAAGGCCTAGAACCCGACTTAGACCCTAGAGCCCAGAACCGCAGACCCTCTAAACCCGGATACCCAGAGAGCCCAATACCCCTTAAATAAGGAATATAGCTCAAATCATAATATGAAGCCCTATCTAATTTAAGCCATATTCCTGAATTAAGGGGTATCGGGCTCTCTGGGTAGTTCGTAAACCCTGCACCCTGGAACCCTCTCTCTAGACCCGTATAATTCCTAAGACACCCTGGAACCCCAGTCTAGTGGAACCCTACCCTAATTCCTAAACCCTGGAACCCTAGAGCGATAGGCCCCATAGCAGTTCCTTTTGGGGGTTCATAATTCGAATCCCATAGCCAAACCTCCGGGAGGATCCAAAAAGTAGATCCATGAATGGGGGCTCCTATAAAACACTTTTAGTAGTATAGGGCCCCAAATTAGAGGATCTACTTTCTAGATCCTCCGCGGGTCTGGGCAAGGTAATACCCAAAAGGAGCTACCCCTGGGGCCTCGAACAGAATCTCAAAAAGCAACCCCGAAGAAGAAAGCCGAACAGGAGCCGTTGCGGGGCTCATAACTAGAATCCCATAAAGGTAATCCCAAAAAAGGAGCTACTATGGTTGATGATATAAATCCTGCATTAACTTAAGGACCCTAAACTATGGGAATTATGGGAGATTCGAGGGGATCCCTCCTTTTCCCCTTCGATACAAAGGCGCCCTGAACCGCACCAGGGCAGCCTGCAAACTTCTTGGCCACCTGCTCAGTGACGCCGGTGTCCTTGGGCTTTGGGTGTTTAGGGAGTAGGGTGTTGCAGGTATTAAGTGGGTGGTTCTCAAAGTTGTGGTCCCTTTTTGGGCACCTTAAGGAGTAGGTGCCGTACTATATTAGGGACCCCAAAAAGGGACCATAATTCTGACAACCGCCCAAGTGCTCTATGGTGATGTTTTAGACTTAGGTTCCTAGGTCTAGGGCGTCTAGGGGTCTCCGATTGGGATCCCGTGGTTTAGGGTTCAGGGTTTAGGGCTTCGGGTTCAGGGTTTGGGGATTAGGGTTTAGGGATTAGGGCTCAGGGTAGTTTGAAAGGTTTCTATCCGGCTTCCTTGTTCGGGATCCCTATCCGGCTTCGCAACTTCAGGGTTCAGGGTAATGCAAGCGGCCTTTGTGATTAGACCAGGGTTCCTTTAAAGGGCTCCTGTAAGGGATACTAAAAGGGCTACTATAAGGGTTTAATACAGTGGCCTTAATAACTATTATTCATGCCCCATGTATGATTTTGAAAGGCTCCTGTTCGGCTTCCTTCTTCGGGGTCCCTGTTTGAGATTCTGTAAAGGTTCCTGGAAGTGCTGTGGTACCCAGAGGGTCCATATACACTACCATTATGGAATTAGGTCCCCAAAACCATAATAGGGATGGTCTTTTGGGACCTAATTCCATAATGGTAGTGTATATGGACCCTCTGGGGTAAGGGCTTCCATTCAGGGTGCTCCCTGAAGGGTTCTATTCTTGCTTGCTACGAAGGGCTCCGCTTCCTTCAGCGGGTTAGGGCTGCGCCTGTCTGACGGCCACCAGCAATATCCGGTACAGCCCGGGTATCGAGAAACGTCGCTGCAGATATGCTCCTGATCGTCCACGTGGTGGATCTCTACCTCGAACCGTGCCAAAATGGACAGCCGATCGCCCTTGCCGTTGCGGTCAACCTTCTCAGATGTAATCAATAAAGAAATCACCCGATCCGGAACGCCAACGAAAGAAGATGGGTCCAGCCCCTCGACAACGCGACGCACGCTGTCTCTCACCGTGTCCTTACGGGACGCCGTCACGGCAAAGGAGCAAATCAGCACGCTGGTATCAGGATATGTGCTCAGCACGCGCTGCACGGCCTCGATACTACCAGCAAAATCCCGGTCCAATACAAGATGGCAATCCAATGACACGACACGCGTAGCTCTCTCGGCCTGTAACAAGTTTGCAATGTGCCGAAGAGAGAGGGATTCGTTAACGCGCACGGTCCGCTGAGGCAGGGGTTCAGGAATCGAAGTGCTAGCCGGCTCGGCTTCTGCAGGTGCCTCCTCCTCCACCGTGACAGTCACGAATGGCTCAGCTGCCTCCTCCAAATGCCCAGTGCGCCTCCTCTTGAGGAGCGGGTTGTCCAAAGTGATCGCGCGATGTCCGATCGGCACGTAAGGGGTCTAGGAGTTTAGTGTTTAGGAGTTTAGGAGTTTAGTGTTTAGGAGTTTAGGAGTTTAGGGTTTAGGGTTGAGGGCTTCGGAGTTTATAGGGTCTACAGGGTATTCTTTAGGCCTTACTTGAAGGCTGGCTCTGGGGCTTTAGGACTTCCCAGGACCCTCCACCCTGAGGTACCCTTTACTAGAGCATCTTGATAAAGGGTATTTCGGCTTGATATTCACCGGACATTGAAGTAACCAGGGAAAAAGAATTTTATTTTATAATGGTTCCTTTAAGGTACAGGTACCAAAAAAAGTATTCAAGATTCAAGTATGGAACTCCAAACCCAGGTTCAAGGTTGAGTAGTATGGTGCGGCCTGCCAGGGCAGTAAGCCTCATCCACCACAACAAGTAAATAGCTAGTTGGGGGGGTCTAGGTCTAGGTCGTGACATAATTGATTTGGAGTTTGGGCTCCAGGATGTTTTAGGCATTCGAGGGGTAATAGGGTTTAGGAATCGTAGGGTTCAAGGGTTTAGTTTCTGCCCAATGATCTCACTGTAGTTTCGGCTCTCGGCTATCCTTACAGCCGGGGTTCTGCTGCTAGTATCACGATGATGCGAAACGACGTCAGCATTGTCACTCTCACCAGTAGCATTCGGAATAGCATAAAAATGCCATTGGACTTGGATGTGCTGAGAGAGTCCATGACATCAGCGTTGTCGAGGATCCCGTTCTAGAGAAACTGTACCACGAAATTGGTGGTTTCTTGATGACTGTGCTCCCCTAAACCCTGAGACCCTAGTTCTTGTCTCCGGGATCCTGTTCATGTTGCAATGGTTGTTGTCCCTAAACACTAAACCCCGACTGTTTTGGTCGTCGGCATTAGGGTCCCCGAATTGTTCTCCCGGTCAGCCGGCATTGGTTTAGGTTTAAGTTCGGTGTTTCATTCACATCGAAGTTCGGGGCTCACTGTATGCCGGGGTGGGGGAAGGGTTTGTGTTAAGAGTACACTGTAAGGCTTACGTTTAGGCTCTGGGTTTGAGGCGTTGACGGCTGCCCTCCCCAATATGACGCGAGCTATGACCCTGCTTGAAACCTCAATGTGGGTAGCTCCCTACAGGCCCTAAAAGGAATCCTGAAATTTTTGAGAACTACCCAGGTGCTGCACAGGCACCTGCCTACCGCGCACACACGCAGCCTGTAACTCCCACAGCCTGAATGCACACCCATGCACACCTGTGAGCCTAAATGCTGAAATTTTGAGGCGCTTAGGTATTGTAAGCCCTAAACCTACATAGCATGTGACATCAAATAACCCTACCCCTGAGCTTTAATAGTCCCTGACGTCTTGTAAGCTAGATAAAACATACCATCGAGTAGCCCTAGACGCTACCCCCTGAACCCTAAATCCCTACAAACCCTAAACCCCACAACAGAATCCTTGAATGTTTTGGGCACCCAGCCGAACCGAACGCGATCAGGACAGGCTCGGCGACAGAGTTTGCCTGCTTCAGCCCATCCTGTCATGGAGTACTTAGGCGTCATTAAGGTTTAGGGTGTATGGTGGAATTCGGGGTTCAGTATCGTTTAGGGTTCGGGCCAGTTTAAGGACTAGAGTTTGAGGATTTTGGGCTTGCTTAACGGATGTATAAGTCTATACGTGAGTATAACTCGGCATGTAGGACTTACACTTTGTTTACAGATTCTGGAGTCGCAGTCTAGGATGTACAGGTCTAGGTTAAAGCCCAAAATCCTAGACCCTAAAACCCTAAACCCACTGAGTTGGCTGTCAGATCCTCGAAGAAGGTGTTTAAGCATTTAGGGTTCAGGGCTTAAGGGACTCTGCAACCGACTTTGGAGATCATGAGCTTAGGTTTGGGCCCTCAATAATTAGAATAGGGTTTAGGGTTAGGGTTTCGGGTAAATTATACTATAGATTTTAATAAGGAACACCCAAAACAGAATAGGTCATTCTAAAGCCCCTGTATTAGTACGGAGGGCTTCTGCAAGCTTTCAACGGCTTTACCTCCTTATACCGTAAAGGAAGGTATAAGTACTATAACGTATAGACTTATAAGCCTACTTACTAAGCCCTCGGAAACCTGTTTAAGTAAACAGCTAACCCCAGTTCTACAGACATCTTCAACCTTAAACTCCTAAACCAAGGCCCTAAGTGCTAGACCCTCGAACCTCAATCACAGAATCCCAGCTGCAGCCTCAACATTACTTGGAGGGTCGGGGGACTTAGTAACTGGTTATTTTAGGGACTTATAAGTACCATAACCCCAATTAGGGTCCCTTTTAGGGTACTTATAAGTCTACTTACTACCTACTTACTAAGTCCCCCGACCCTCCAAGTAGGTCATCGAACAGAAAACCCAGATCCCCCACCCCACCCAGGTTTAGGGTTTAGCGTTGGGGTTTCGGGGCCCTCCAAAAAAATACAACAGGGATCCGAAGGCTCTACGAAAGACGAGTGAAAGTCAGCCTCAAGCTTCAACGTGTGCATGCTCGTGCATGGAGCTGAAAGACTAGACCGCACAGGATGTATAAATATTACATACAAACATATTTCCCTCTCCCTCCAAGGACCTCATAGTTAGGGCCCTAGACCCCTTAAGGACCCCATATTAATAAGGTCCCTGGAGACATAGGGTTTGTATATAGACAATAGCCGAAACATATTGCCGCGAGTTTGCCCATAAATACTGTACCGATTGTAAGCAGTTGACATTGTCACGCCGCAATATAACAAATATCCGTATCGGCGGCAGGTTCCGAAACTCTAAACCCCCCAAACCCAAAGACCCCAAAGTAGCAAAACCCTGAACCCTAAACTCCCCAAACTCATAGATCCCAAAGTACCAAAACCCTAATCCCTAAACCCTAAACTCTAAACTTGCCAAACTCATAGATCTCAAAGTACCAAAACGCTGAACCCTACACTCCCCAAACCCATAGATCCCAGAGCACGAAAACCCTGAACCCTAAACTCCCCAAACCCGAAGATCCCAAAGTTCCAAAAGCCTGAACCCTAAACTCCCCAAACCCAAAGATCCCAAGGTACCAACATGCCCAAATCAGAAACCCTAAGACTCCAATATCCCTTAAATTATAGTAGGATTCCTCGTATAATTTAAGGTATATTCCTTAATTAAGGGATATTGGAGTCTCTGGGAAGTCATCTCTTTCCAGCCTTTAGCGCAGCAACATCCTGGGAGAGCTCAGTAGCCTCCGCTGTTTCTTGCCCGCTGCTTTGGGGTTCTAGGGTTTATGGGTCTAGGGTTTATGGGTTATGGGTTTAGGGTTTAGGCTTAGAGTTTAGGGTTTAGGGGCTTAGGGGTTTAGGGGTTTGGGGTTATGGGTTTAGGGTTTAGGGTTTATGGGTTTAGGGGTTTATAGGGTTTATGAGTTTAGGGGTTTGTTGTCGTTTTTCATGGGAGGTTTGATCAGGTCGTTTGGTTCCTTGGTCCTTTGCTTCGTGGATTATTTATGTGTGTCGCTCTTTTGCTTGCTGCGTTGTTGCTTTGCTTATTGTTGTTTGTTGTGTTTCGTTGTTAAATGTACTTCTTTGCCTCTGTGCTTGCTAAATATCGCCCCTATCAAGAGAATGACTTCTCATGCAGACACTCTTGACGCTGCGATGTATGTCCGCCCGATCCTCAAGTGAGCAAAGATCCGGAGCTGAATGTCAACACAGCACTTGGAGGTTCATGGGTAGTTATAAGGGGGTTATAAGCCCCCTAATATGGCGTATAAGTGTAGCTACCCTACTTATAACTATCCATGCACCTCCAAGCACTCCTCCGACAGTCTCAGAACCGAACCTTGAACCAAAAGCCCGGAGACTGCAAAACAAAACCAAACCTCTCTTCAAAGCACCACCAGTATACCTCAAAACGTGAGCCCTACACCGCCAAAGCCTAAGCCTACCAAATAACCGGAATCGACTATCTGTGACGGCCTTGGCTTTCAGGCTGGCGTGGCGCTGCTTCAGGTACACCTACCACCAGAGCTTCGCTTTGACGTGAGGCCCGCAGTGAGTAACCATTAGAATAGAGTCTTGGGATATATTTGGGAGTTTCCGAAAATAGGGGACCCTAGTATAGTACCCTAAATAATAGACTCCCTATTATAAAGACCCCCAAATATGGTACCCCCAATTTCCGGAAACTCCCATTTTATTGTACTTCTAAGGGGGCTGTAAGGGTCCGTCTAATATCAGGAATCCTCCAGCTCCGAATTTCTGTCGAGTGCCTCAATGTTGGAATCTCCCGGTAAGTTTTCAAAAAAAGGAGTTTCGGATGCATGTGTTCCTTCATTCACAGGATTTGGATCCGCTGGCTAGATTGTACGGAATAGAGCTTACCAGAAAACTACAAGCAATTCCGAGAACCTACCGTGATAACCCCATTAATCCGTCAAAGTCAAGCTCCTTGGTACAGCAACAGACTTGTCCTTTGCAAAGGGTGCGAGTGGTCAAAAAAAGAGAAGAACCAAGCCCTCCCTTGAATCAGTCACCACCTCCTGAAGACAAGCAACAACAACACCAGGGACCCTGAACCCCAAGGGCCATAGTATGCGGGAATTCTTTAACCCTAAACCCTAAACCCTAAAGCCTAAACCCCAAAGCTTAAACCCTAAACCCTAATGTCTAAAGCTGAAATAAACACAGGTTATGTAGGGGCTCCTGCAAACCTTGAACTTCGCAATCAGACTGCTTCGTAGGGTCCCTGTGTAAATTCTGCTTGAGGGTTTGTAATGAGAGTCCACCAAATTAAATTAGGTTATGGTAGTCTAAGGAAGCTTCATAAAGCTCGAAAATGGTCTCAAACCTCAGATACTTTGGGATTTTGCTGGGCTTCTTTAAGGTGCCCTAGACCCTAAACCCCAATGTTGCTGGCTTGTTTTTTAAGGTTTGTGAAGAGCTTCCCCGCCTTGGGGTCTGGGGCTTAGGGTTCTTGGATGGGGGGTGGAGAGCCGAAAGTTCACTTTGAGTGAGGGCTCTTACCCTAACCCCGAAGAACCTACATTTCTAAGGGCTTATATGAAGAAATCATAATGAGGAACCCTAAAAGGTAGGTTATTCAGGGTTAAGGTAGGGTTTAGGATGTGAAAGACATCGTCCTTGGTCAGTAATCTTCCTTAACGGAGTGGCATGGGGCTTTGGAAAACCCCATTTATCTGCGTTTCTTTGAACCCTATAGAGCCTACAGTAGGGCCTACAGCCTTTATGAATCAAATTTTGAGAACCCACAAGCCCAAAGTCCAAAAAACCTTAAACCACAACAAAAAAAAACGAAATCGCGAATGCCCTCAAACCCCCAACCCCTAAAAGACCAAACGACCCCTTATAAGAACCCTCAAAGGAACCCTTACAGATCCCTTTAAATAGGTATTTAGGGATTCCAAGGTTAAGGGCCCATGCTAGGTTAAAGGCTCATGGTTGCAACCCTTGATTCATCCAACCTGGCCCTAAGCCCCAAATTCCAAACCCTAAACCCCCAGCCCCAAACCCCTAAAAGACCCTTCATCCTAAGCCCTAAACCCTAAACCCCCAAAACCCGAAAACCTAAACCCCTAGCCCCAAACCCCTAAAAGACCCTTCAGAGTCTATATAGGGTATATCGTAGGCATTTAGGGATCCCAGGGTTAAGGGCCCATTTTTTCAACCCTGGGTTCATCCCATCTGAAGCCCCTAAACCTTTAAAACCGAAATCCCCAAAACCCTAAACCCTAAAAACCCTAAACCCCCAAAAACCCTAAACCCCTAAAACCTACACCCTAAACCCCTATAGTAGAAGCCAGAAAGTTGGAACATCAGACTCCTCATGCCCTTAAGGTAAAGTATAAGGGATCCTAGCACTAATCTTCCTAAAGCCATGTTCCAACTTTCTGGCTTCTACTGTAAACCCTAAAAACCCTAAACATCCCACCTGAAGCTCGCCCTGGAGCTTCTCTGCCACGGCCGGGGAGCTCCTTTCAGTCAGAGGCTCGGAGGCCAAATCCTAAACCAGAAATAGGAGTTTCCGGAAACAGGGGAGGCTTTAAGGGGACCCTTTAAAGGGGTCTATAAGGGTTCTATAAAGGGTTTAGGGGTTTAGGGGTTGAGAGGTTTAGGGTTTAGGGTGTTTGGGGTTTAGGGGTTTAGGGTTTAGGGGTTTTGGGGCTTTGGGGGTTTAAGGGTTTATATAGGGCTTATATAGGGTTTAAGGGTTTACTAGGCGTTCAGGGGAGCCTTTAAGGGGACCCTTTAAGGGGTCTGTAAGGGTGCTATAAAGGGTTTAGGGGTTTAGGGGTTTAGGGTTTAGGGGTTTAGGGGTTTAGGGGTCCGGGGTTTAGGGTTTTTAGGGTTTAGGGGCATTGGGGCTTTGGGTTTAAAGGTTTAGAGGTTTAGGGGTTTAGGGGTCTATATAGGGGTCATAGGGGTTTTAGGGGTTTCTGGGTTAGTTTTTTTCAGGGTGCGTTTCGGGTTTCGTACGCCGCAGTCGTTGTCTACTACGGTGGAACTGCCAGGAGTTGTGTTGTTAGTGCGTATTCAGGAACCTATGCATAAGGAATGAATACAACGAGGCTCCATCAATACCCCATTATAGGGTCTGAGTTAAGGTCCCTAAAACCAACTTACGGATGGCCTTTCGGGATTTAGTTCCACATAATGGTCGTCTATATGGAACCTCTGGGAAAGAGGCCAAACAACGTGCAGACAAAAGCCATCACCAGGCCCAAGTTGGTCCTGACGAGCTGTGCATATCGGTTCTGGCGGTTCAGGAACTTCATGACCTGAGACGACGCAAGGTTAAGGGTTTAGGGTTTAGGTCTGGGACGATTGAAAACTTAAGAAAGATCTATAGCAGAAGCCAGAAAGTGGGAACATGGCTTTAGGAGGAAAATCGTGCTGGGATCCCTTACACTCCTACCTTAAGGGCATGGGGATAATGATGTTCCAACTTTCTGGCTTCTACTATATGGGTAGTTGTCAAAATTAGGGTCCCTTTTTTGGGTCCCTATTATAATACGGCAGCTATTATTTAGGGTACCCAAGAAGGGGCCCTAATTTTGACAACCACCCATATGGCATGAAAGAGTTTAGAGAGTAAAAAGTTTGGCACCCGGGAGGACTGAAGTCGTAGGGTTGATGAAACCCTAAACCGCCTAAACCCAAAGCCCTAAACAAAGGGAGGACTAGAGTTTATGGGATTATTGTAGGGCACCCGACTTTATGGATAAGATCTATTATAATTCTATCCCTATCCCTCCAAGGACCTCATTGGCAGGTCGGTCGGGCTTGGCTGGGAGCCCTGCGCCGGTAATGGGTCGGGTAGGTTCCTCTACTTGGGCTTGGGTTTCGGGTTTGGTTGTTTTTCAAAAAACTCGGTACACTTCTCGACTTGCGCTCGTCATCCGGGTTTGGGGTTTAGGGTTTGAGGTGTAGGGTTCAGGGTGTAGGGTTTTGGGTCTAAGCTTTAGGGCTTCGGCGGCGGCTGCAGGATTTTGGGCGTGGGCTTCGGTGCGGGCGACGGACGCGGCTCCGCAGCGGGGAATCCCCGTTTGGGAGGGTTTATTGGCTTGACCCGTGGTCCTCGTTTGCCATGATGGGCTCGTCGTCTTTTGCGGGAACTGCACCAAATGAGCCTACCCAGAGGCCCCATAGTAGTTCCTTTTTGGGATTACCTCATAAGATTCTAAAGATGACACCAAAAAGGAACTACTTTGGGGCCTTAGGGTAGACTACATCCTGCACCTCCTGTGCACCCGGCAAGCGTCCAGCACCGGGCTGACGCTGAAGTCAACATGATGGAAGTGGTTGGGCAGCTCCTCCAGCTCGAACTCGTCAATGGATATCCTGAGAGGCAACTGTGGGCAAGGGTGGCCGCCAAGCTTCGAAAGGCCTTCGAAGCAGCCATCGGTAGGGCTGCTGACCTTCCTAGCCCTCTCGGACAGCGCCTTCGCCTTTGAGACCATACCCGCCAAGCATCCTTGCTCCAAAGCCGGAGCACCAAGGATGGCTCGCGCACGCCGGGTCTGGAGCAGAAGTTGGGGCTGGGGCAGAGCTCGTGCCAGTCATGTGCACATACTCGGCTAGTGCCAACTTTTCCGGCATTACACAAGGTCTTGAAAGGCTTTCAAAAGATGTCCAAGGCTTTCAACAGGATTTTACAGGGTTTCTTGTGTGTTTGAATGTAAACCCTAAACCCTGAACCTTCAACATGAGTCGGTGTCCATTTTATTGCCAAAAACCTGCTTTCCCCGGTGGAACTTACAGCCGGAAAAAAACCCGATCGCAACAAACAAACTCCATTCTCGGTGGAGCTTACAGCCGAACAAACCCGACCAGTACGAGGGTATCAGCAATAGTGTACGTATCTTCATTGAATGCCGATTTGGCTTCAACTGTATGTTTAGGATTTGGGATTCGGGCCTTCAGTGGTTCTTAAACCCGAAACCCTAAACTCCTCAGTGGTCCAGGCTATAGGGTTTTCGGCTTCAAGTTAAAGAAACCACTCAGCCTTTATCGAGTAGTGCACAAGCGAGGTTGCAAAAGAAAAACTGCGAAGAGTCTATGATTGAAGAGTTTAGGGTGTAGGGATTAGGGTTTAGGGATTTAGGGACTTAGGGTTTGGGTTTAGGGGTCTAGGGTTCTTGCAAGAGCAAGAATCATGTCACCAATAGCAAAAAACAAATCATGGCAACACGACTCAAGATTCAACAATCGCGACAGCAGTGCGAGCCATAGTGGTCCTATCCATGATCAAACGCCTGGAAACCTGTAAACCCATAATCCCAAGTCCCCAATCCAACGCCCTGACACCCCTGAGCAGTGTACTTACCCTTGGTTAGTAGGGAATGGAAGAATGGTAGCAGTAGTAGTTACAATTATATACCCCATTCCTCCATTCCCTACTAACCAAAGGTAAGGGTAGGAGCCGCGCGTCCCCAGTGACCTTCTTGGAGTCCTGGGACCAAAGCCGTCGGGGCTTCCAGTGGGCTTGCGATCTCAGAGCTATGTTTGGGCTTTAAGGTTCCCCAAACCCCTACAGTAACCCTAAACCCTAAGTTTAGTAAACCCCAAAGCGTGAAAGCCCCAAACCTCAACCAATAGCGGCTTCGGAGAATTCAGGCTCGTAAGGCTTCTGGGCTTACTAGGATTTCCAAAAGCTCTATTTCGATTGTCGCGTCAAGGTTTGGGAGTCTCAAGTTGAGGGTTTAGGGGATTAGGGTTTACAGGGAAATTCATGTCTTGGGCTCGAGGTGCTGGATTTGCGGGCGATTGGTATTTGGGGCCGGGCACTTCGGTGTCTTATAGCTATACAAGGAGGCTTGGAGAGCCGGGAAACCCTAAACAGGGAATTAGGGGTTTAGAATTAATTCAGTGTCACCTAATCATTGCTTTAAACCAGAAACACTGCGTCTGAGCGACGAGGATGAACGGATTGTCACCAATCTTCGCGAGATGCGGATTGAAGCGGTAGAGGGGCCAGTAGCCACCTGGGCTTTCGGAGGCAAAAGGGTACAAGGCCGTTCTACGAGGTCTTCGAGCCTTACACCTTTCAGTGTTTTAAATATGAATGTCTGTATATATCTAACTATATACATGCTTTTACCAACCAAATCGTAAACAAACTTCGAAAGTCTGGGGCAAACTTCCTTTATGATCCATTGCTACCAGTGGTCTCCGATTTCATAGTACGTAGGAAATTTGGGAACGGACCCCCATGATAGTGACACTTTACGTCCTTTCTTACCTACGAAGAACCAGGGAGCAGTTCGTGAGGTACGCGTATCGGAGGCGACCGCAAGCTTCAATGAACAACATGGCAGCACATGAGTTCAGAAAGGTTTTTGTGGGTTTAGGGTTAGTACCTTGGGACCCTGGGATCCGAAAACCTACCGTTTTAAGGATTCTACCCCCTAATTAAGGGGTCATAACCTACTATTTTGTAGGGTTTGGGGATACAGGTAGGGTTTGAGGTATAGGGTTCATTGGGTTCTTGTTAAGGGATGGAACTTAAGTTACCATACTAAGGAAATCCGTATTATTTACGATAGCGCAATAGCAAAGAGCCGAGTTTAGGGTTTAGGGGCTCGAGGTTTTGGAGCTCGGACCGAATCCACGTCGGCACCTAAACTATACTGAACTTAGAACCCTAGCAAAAATTAAAATTTAAGCTGTTTCTTAGGGGTTATAATGACCAAAAATTAAACAGATATTTCTAAGTACCCCTAAGTAAAGGGCTCTGCTTGATGAATCCGGGTGGCTATCATGGGCTAAATAATGGGTATAAATAATAACTATATTAAGCGTATGTACCTAGGGGTCCTTACTAAGGGTCCCGGTCGAGACTCGGTCTTCGAAGTACAGCCTAACTGGTGGGAGCGCCTGTCTGAAACCATTCACTGCACTCAACTTCACGCTATGCCTCCAGGGACCTTATTATGGGGTCCTTACGGGGTCTAGGGCCCTAACTATGAGGTCCTTGGAGGGATAGGGTCAAGACACAAAAAAGATGGAAGCACTGCAAAAGCAAGCCTCCGTATAAGCCTAACCCCGAACCCTAAACCAACAATCCTCAGATGAAAGTGCTCCAAGGCACATTCGACAGCATCGCGCTGGTCCAGTGACATCGCAGAAAGACCTTCACGTGGGAATCTGATCATCTTTCGTTAATGCTTCAGGGTCACCTTTTTGATTGCTGAAAAACCGTGTAAAACCCGTACAGAGTGGGCATGTGCATGCTTCCTAAGCTTGAAGGTGTGGGGTGTATCGGGTTTAGGAGTTTGGGGTGCTGGGTTTAGGGTTTAGGTTTTACGGTTTGGGGTTTAGGGCCTCGTGCCTATCCCTCTCAAAAGGAAGGCAAATATCCTACATGTCCCGTAGCCTGGGCAACTAAAGGTTAACTTGGAGAGTCATTTCGGGCTTATAGGATCCCGAAAAAGCTAAAAATTACCTACCTACTACTAAACCATAAACCCCACACCTTGTGCCTTCAAACGTGCACCAAAACATGCCGTTCAGGGAAATCAATAGAATGAGGACATCATGCTAAGCAAACCAAGCATTTCGGGTCTGGGCTGTAGGCGTTTAAGTGTGTAGGTATGGATTTAACATGTGGGGTATGGTTTTCAGTATATTAGCATCCCCCTAATAAAACCCAATATATACAATATACACTCACCTAATCCCAAAAGGAGCCCTAACTACACTCACCAAAACGGTAATATAAACCCTACTTCATGTGGTGGTTGAGGCCGCCGCATGTGCAATCGCTAACGGGTAGGGAGATTATGTACAGCACCTGGCCTACTGCACAACTCTGCTAGCCGCGATCCTCCAACTATAGCCTGAAATCACCTAACTTACCTTTGGTTAGTAGGGAATATTAATGGAAGAATGGTAGTAATAAATAGCAGTTAAAGTTGTACCCCATTCCTCCACAAAATGCAAGCAAACCTACGCGTCTTACACCGGCGTCTTCGTATACCCTGATCAAGCAGCGCCTTTCGGACAACGAAACGTGTTGGTTTGGTCGTAAACTTACCTTTGGTTAGGGAATGGAGGAATGGGGTACAATTATAACTAATATTACTACCATACTACTACCATATTACTATCATATTGCTATCATATTACTACCATGTAACTACTATTACTACCATTCTTCCATTCCCTACTAACCAGAGGTAAGCAAAGCCCGGCCTCCCCTAAATCTTGCAAGTTGGATTCGGGGTCGATCGATATTTACAGGGTTTCCCCTATGCCTCCAGGGACCTTATTATGGGGTCCTTATGGGGTCTAGGCTAATTAACTATGAGGTCCTTGGAGGGATAGGGTTACTACTGAGATCTATCTAGCTAGTCTGTCTGCCAGACTTGGGATCTCAATCTCGCTTCCAAACCTTCATGCAGTCGGCATGGGAATGAAGTCGCGATGTGCAGCGTTGCGGCCAGGGCCGCCGTTTCGGGTTGTCTCTGGCATTGTATCTTGCTTTGAGCCTTTCTTCTTAGTTTTTTGAAAAAAGAAAAGGGGCTTTTATTCCTTAGAAGCTAGGGCCCTAAACAGAGCGCTGCGATGCCTGCCAGCCCTGCAGAGAAACAGGATGTGGCTGCTCCTCTGCTGGACCGCTCGAGCGAAGTTCATGACAAAGGCGCTTCCGGAAGCTGACCGCTCTTCGTGCGCCGTTCCGCCGGCAGCAAAGCAAGCGTACTCGGCAGTCGGCATCTTGAAGCGCAAGCACCGAAGCTGCCTCGGCGCAAGCCTGTTGGATCTGATACAGCACACTGAGTGAACTGACTGAAACCTGGCGCCATGATGCGGGTCGAGACAACGCCAACAATGTTACATGCTGATGTCATAGATGTCAGGAACTGCTGCCTTAACATGCCATCGAAATTCCACAACAACAACAACAACAACAACACCACCAGACAACAGGTGGAACTACAACTTAGTCCAGCCCTGTCCCTGAATTAGTTAGGTCTGCCACCGAATCTGAGCTACAAGCAACAGTAGCCTTTCCCCCTTCACTATGGAAGCTTAGAAACTAAAGGGCTGAGGTCCCCAGTCCAAGCCTTTTCAACTATGCTAGGATTATTACTTAGGTGCCGAGTTCATAAGCCAAAAAAAGTTTAAACTTTCAGTTTTAAGAGGGTTTCATTATCCCAAAAAGTTTAAAGTTCATAAACTCAGCTACTAAGATTACATAAACCCCAAAAGGTTCAATCGACTTGCTCAGCTACTAAGCCCACTTCTCTCCAATCGTTTCCCACACAGAGCACGACCCTAAACATGAAACCAAAGCCCTGGTCACAGTGCTCAAACACGCTCGATGTTCAATCCGAACATGCTACCCCGACCTGTAAATCTGAGATTTCAGGGATTCGGGCGTATTGTTTAGGGTCAAATGCTTAGGGGTATCATGTTCGGTGCCCTGCATACTCTTTACATCACAGTCTAACTCCGACGTCTGGCGCTCTCCGGATAGTGTTAGGGTTTAAGGGTCAGGGTATAGAGTTTAGGGTATAGGGTGTAAGATGGGTTTAGGGTCTATGGTTCAGGGAGGGCTGAGGCAGCCGTGTATTGTTCGAAGCTCTTATTATTGTTGCATGGCGTCGATCTCACCAGCCCCCCGAATAAGTTATGGCCAGGGCTCTATGAGAAGTTCTGCGTTGTCCCAAGTCAGCCCTAAACGCTAAACCCGGTACCTAGTTCAGCAATTCAGCAACTGCAGAGAATCATCCTTCAGTGTCTTTCACAATTTGTGTTTGGCATAGGCCGCTGAGTCAGAGTCCTGTGTGGGGGTTTCTTAAAGCCTAAATCCCAAACCCAAAAGCATAATTGGATCCTAAAGGCCCTAAGACCTGTAACCCAAAGCCCAAGACTCAGAAATGCCAAACCGGAAAGACAAGCCTTCAAACCCAACAGCTTAGGGTTGCGGGTTTCGGAGTTAGGGCTTCAAACTTCAATCCGGGTAGTTGTCAAAATTTTGGTCCCTTTTTGAGTCCGTAATTTAGTACGGCACCTAACATTTAGGGTACCCCAAAAGGGACCATACTATTGACAACCACCCATCCCTAGTTCGCACAGCGCCTGTCTTGAAGAAGCGATGCTCAATGCAAGGGGCGTAGCACATCAGCAACGCCGGCCCGTCCTTACTCGGAGGCTCATGGGTAGTTTAAGTGAGTCATAAGTCCCTTAATATGGCTTATAAGTATAGTTACCCTACTTATAACCCTACTTACAACCTCCAAGTAGGGCTTTGAGACCCTGAGCCCCTTTAAGGGGAAGATAGAAGGGGCCCTATGCCCAAACCCTACGCTGCTTTAGGATTTCGGGTAGGGCTTCAGTATGCAAGGCCGGCGGGAGGATTTAGAGCAGACGGTTTCCAAATCTGGCACAGGGTTTCAGCATCTGCCTGTACCCAATAGCCCAGTACTGCATTGTTGTAGGGCCCGGAACATGCTAAAGACGGAATAGATGCTAGACCACAACACAGGAATGTAAGGCTCTCTATTGCCATTTCCTTGCATGAAACACCAGAAAGGTAGACTATCTATGGTTTTTTCGGAGTAAGGTGGGCCAGGGTACGGTAGGCTGTAGGGTTTCAGCGGTTAAGGGCTTGCAGGCTTCCAGGAATCCCAAAGACTCCGATGTACTGTTATGGGGGATACTTCCCCAAATCATAATAGTAATTCCTACTATAGAAACCCTACATTCTACTATATCGGTACTTTGGACCCTTTGGGGTACTGGGGTGTCAGAAGCTTCGGATCCGAATAACCTATGAGCAGGGTTTAGGGTTCTAGGGTTTAGGGGCTTAGGGTGTAGATGGTTACCGGGTTTAGGGTTTAGGGGTTTGGAGTGTTGAGGGTTTGCTCACCCCCCCAAACTCTGTTCGCTAAAACCTCGCGCTGGAAAAATCGGGACACGAACGAACGGGGCAGGATTCGGGATCCGGCGAGGGCTTAGGGGTGCAGATTTACAGTTATACGGTTTCGTATCTTTATTAATTAAGGGCCTATAGTTGTAATTATAGTCTCTGGAACCCACTCTCCCATTGCCCACCTAGAACCATGGCATCCTACAACATCCCGAAAAGCTGGCAAGAGCCTGGTGGGACTCGGCACAGTTCACATGCAAGCTGGTCATGCGTTACTTAGGTACTGCCCCCCATACACTAAGAGTCTATAATGGGGCTACTATTAAGGTCATATATCTATATTATGAATATTGTTCAACTATTACTGAGTGGGGGCCGTACCCAATGCGTTATCCTGAACCCTAAACCCTGAACATCAAGCATCTTCGACACCCGCCAGAAGAAGGAACATCAGCCGTGTCGCATATTTCTCGGCTTCGGCAAATGCCTCCGACGAAAGGGGTGTTGGACCCTGAATCTAAATGGGTTCTATTCGGACCTACTGCAGCAGCCTACATAAGGTCAGAGATGTTTAAAAAGGTTTGGGAAGCTTACAAGTATAACGACTGCGAATCAGTTCGGCCACCACGTGATGCCCTCATGACGGCGAAGCCTAGTTCCTAAACCCTAAAACCCTAAAGCCGCTACTCCCAACCCGCACTAAAGCCACTGTCAATCTCCTAAAGCCCTGAACAGTGAACCCCTACAGTCGTAACCCCAAACCCTAATTAAACCCACTGGCAGTGTCCTACAGCCCTGACCGTGAAGCCCTACAGTCGTAACCCCAAACCCAAGCCCTAAACCCGACTGTAAATGTCCTGAACCGTGAACCTCTTACAGTAAACCCAATAAAGTTGGAAATCGGATTAAGGCCAAATAGTGCTGGGATTCCCTTATATATTACTCTTAAGGATTGAGGCTATGGGGTTTCCAACTTTTGGGCGTCTACTGTAGGTCCTAACCCCTAAACCCAAGCCCTAATTAAACCCTAAACCCTAAACCCAAGCCCTAATTAAACCCTAAACCCTAAACCCAAGCCCTAATGAAACCCTACTGGAAATGCACACCGAAGCCCTGAACTTGGCCAGAACCCCAAAGATTCCTCCAGCCCTTAGGGGAAAAAGGGGGTTTAGGGGTTTAGGGTTGTCTTTTTTTTTTTTTAGGATTTAGGGGTTTAGGGGTTTAGGGTTGTTTTTAGGGTTTAGGATTTAGGGGTTTAGGGTTGTTTTTAGGGTTTAGGGTTTAGGGGTTTAGGGTCTGTTTTTAGGGTTTAGGATTTAGGGTTTAGGGGTTTAGGGTTCAGGGGTTTAGGATTTAGGGTTTTAGGGTTTAGGGTTCAGCGTTTAGGTTTGAGGGTTTAGGGTTTAGGTTTGAGGGTTTAGGGTTTCAAGCCTCAACGCACTGCTTGTAGTTGGCACCGATGGCCACGGAAGCAACCTCACAGAGGCGTCCATGTGGGCTACAACACCCTAGGACTCAGAGGGGCCTTCACGATTAGAGTAGGGTTTCGGAGCCCATGATACTATAAGTATAATAGTATATGGGTCATGAACTAGGCCCCTATGGTACATAGATAGTAGGTTGCTAGTATATGCTGACCATTAGGGTTGAGGGCTCAGGGACATGAAAAGTGCGCTCATGACCACATAACATGAAACTGAAACGCCCGCTACTGAGGTATCTGCTGCCAACGGGGAGGGATTGCAAAAGAGACTCATTGGAGCAATGAGAAATTTAGGGTTTAGGATTTCGGACCTGGAATCTGCAGCAGCTGTTGTGATACTTTCGAAACCGGTTCAACAGCATGGGATATCCCTCATGATTCGGGGCTGCGAGTTGTGCAGGACAGTACGTAGGCACCCCATGTCACGCTAATATGTTCCTTATACTATTATACTGCTTGTGCTTCTGCCAGCATGTTCGCCAGTACTATAAGATCACCTCGCGGCCTACCTAGAAGCTCATACCCTAGGCCCTAGCTTTTTTTGGATACCTAGCTTTATGGATAAGAGCTGTTGTATAGAAGAGCTTAGATGCCCTAAACAAGGGGTAGGGTATGAGGCTACGGGTAATCACCTAGTATAGTGACCCAGGTACACTGCGTGACTTTTGCGGAAGCACCTTCAACCCAAAGCCCGGGACCTTGAAGCCCTAAACCCGAAATCCCTAAACCCTAAACTCTAAACCCCAAAACCCTAAACATAAAACTCTAAACCCCAAACTCCAAACCCGAAAACTCTAAACCCAAAACCTGAAAACCCAAAGCCTCAAAAGCCCTCGACGGTCTAGGGTTTTGGGCTTAGGGTGTAGGGCGGTTGGGGTTTAGGGTTCAGGACTCGAGCAAAGCGCTCAGGACAACCCTAATATGGGAGTTTCCGAAAATAGGGGACCCGAATATAGTACCCTAAGCTCTAAATAGTAGGATCCTTATCATAAGGACCCCAGAATAAGATACTCCTGATTTTCTGTATATCTGCTAAAGCTCTACAGCACGGTAAAATATCGACCCACACAAGAAGGCGAAACCACCTACGGCTGAGTACCCTAGCCCAAAACAAGGTGAACCTTTTCAATGATGGTAGCACTATAAAAACCCCAAACAGGGTAAAGGTTACCTACTCGGATGCTGATAAAATATGTAAAGCCCTGACGTACCCTAAACCCTAGACCTTCAAGAGAACCCCAAGCCCTGAACCCTTACTGCCGAAAGGCACAGATCCTACTGAAATAGTAAAGGACCCCTAGACACCCCTAAACCCTAGACCCTCATAGATAGATCCCGGGAACCTTAACCCCTGCACAGAAAACTCCATCTAATCGCCCCAATACCCAGAGGCCCCGTAGTAGTTCCTTTTTGGGTCTACCTTACAGGATTCTAAATATGAACCCATGGGGCCTATAGGTAGACCCCTTAATGCAGCGTAGGGGCATAGACGTGCTGGTATGCCATGGCCATCGCTCCGAGGTCTTTCTTTCGCTGATCGCGACCGGCCTGCAACAGGGCTGCGAGTCCTAGGCTTTTGGGGCTTTTCGCTTGAGGCTTTATATTATTCCGGCATACGGAACTACAAACCGAAGAGGCCATAAATAGGCTGGGATATTACATAATTAAATTAGCTCACGGCAGTCTAAGTTCCCATATCACGAAAAGAACTGTACCGTAGTTGTACTTACATGCTTTCCCAGTACCTAAAGGATCAGAAGTTACAACTTTCAGAAAAGGTGGACATCAGAAAGGCGCCCACAATTCCAAAACGGTCTGGGCTTTGGACCATGACGTCTTGCGTTTAGTGTTTTGCATAACCAATCTTGTTTAGGGCTCCTTCTTATGGTTTCCGTAACAAAAAACTCCTATAATGCAAAAAGACTACAGCTCATGCAGCCCTAAACCCTAAACCCTAAACCCTAAAGGAGCTCACAGGCGCCTTTCACAAAGAGGCCTGAGCAACTGGACTGCTTGAAGGATCGGTCGTTTGGTTAGGGGCTTTAGGGAATTTAGGGTTTAGGGATTAGGACGTCTCGCAAAGGTTAAAACACAAGAACCGAGATGTGGCTTTGAACCGCTGCCGGCATTCGAAAGCTGTGCGACGTTTTTTAGCAGTCTCAGTTCATAGTTTGTAACGCTAGCTAGTGAGTTTACAATCTTGCCCTAGGCCTCCAACTGTTCTCTACCATGAATATGGTGGCAGAAGCTCGGTCACAACGTTTACCGTCTAGAGGGGTCTCTCATGCAGCGGTTTTCAAAGTTTTTCCACTGAAGAGTGACTGACCGCGCTGAGGCCAGACTCCACAATTACTGGGCTCTGTAGGTCGCATTTTTGCCTCTTTAACCAAATATTTCGGGCTGTCTAACCCCATCTACCTCCATGCGCTTTTTGAAGCTCTTGACACGCAAATTTCGGCCACTAGCAGCAGCTAGGGGTCAGCACGCGGGGTTCGACCTCAATCCACAAAGCAATGAACTGTAAACCCAATGTATACCCAGAAAGCAATACTCCAATCCCTACCTTCATAAAACGCCCAAATCATGAACTCCACCAACAACGCCTCAAACCCAAACATTTTAGAACTTGGAGCTGCCGGCCGTCAGGCAAACAAAAGCTTGAACCCTGAACCCTAAAACCCTGAAACCCCAAACCTTCAACCCTGAATCCTCAACCCGAAGATATCACCCTGAACCGGGTTTTGGGTTTAGGGTTTAGGGGTGAACCAACCTTCAACCCTGAAACATCCGCTGCCACACGACCTGCGCAAACTTGGCCACAGCTCCCATGGGCGTGGACTTGGACGACTGGCCACCGGTGTTTGAGTAGACCTGCCAGGCTCCTAGTTTAGGGATTGGGTAAAAGGGTTTAGGGTTTAGGGTTTAGGGTTTAGGGTTTACAATCGGGTTCCTTTAAAGGGCTCCTTTAAGGGAGACTGTGGTACTATATAATATTTAAGTATCGGGGCCTGAACAATTAGAATATAGTACCCTCGTAGATCCCTTAAAGGACCCCTAAACCCTGATAGTACCCTTTAGATCCCTTGAACCCCTAAACCCCTGATAGTACTCTTATAGATCCCTTAAACCCTAAACTAAACCCCTGATAGTACCCTTATTGATCCCTTATCGATCCCTTATAGTACTTTTATAGTACCCTTATGGTACCCTTCTAGTGCCTTTATAGTACCTTTATAGATCCCTTGTAGTACCCTTATAGTACCCTTGTAGACCCCTTAAAGGACCTCTAAACCCCTGATGGTACCCTTATAGATCCCTTAAAGGTCCCCTTAAAGGACCCCTAAAACCCCCCCGAGGAGAAGGAAAGCTTCCCGGAAGTGTCTTGGCGATCGACTCTGCGTCTCCTACTTGAAAGGGTCCAATTTATCCCAAAAAGGGGTCCCCTAAAGGGTACCACAAGGGCTCCCTTAAGGGAATCCATGCCATAAGGGTTCTAGACTGTAAGAAACTAGATGGTAGAATGTAGGGTTTCTATAAGAGGAATTACTATTCATTATGAGTTGGGGAAGTATCCCCCCGCAACATAGTACCCTTATAGTCCCCTTACAGTACCCTTACAGTACCCTTATAGTGGGGAAGTATCCCCCCCCCGCAACAGTACCTGGGACCCTTTTGGGGAATGTACTCCTCACTCTGCAGCCGCAGCCTCGCCTATGCGGCCCCCCAGGAACTGCTTCTTGCTAGCGGCGAGCACCACTAAACCCTAAACCCTAAACCTCAACCCTAATCCTGAACCCTAAACCCTGAACCCTACTAAACCCTAAACCCTGAGCCCTAAACCCTACTAAACCCTAAACCCTAAACCCTACATGAACGCCAAAGGCCCTCCACCCTATTACTATCCTGGCCTCAAGGCGTACACACAAACCTCTAAACCCCAAAAAGCCCTGCCCTACTTAGCCTCTTGAATTTCGGCTTTCGGGGCGCCAGATCTGAAGTTATTTTCGGGGGGGGGCGAGGACGGTTGACTAAGGGTCTGACTACTGCAGGGGGTTAGGAGTTCGGGGGGGGGGGGTAAGCCCCGAGACCCCATGTGCCCACATAGTAGGTACTTAGGCCGTAAGGTATATACCTAGAAAGGGACTCTTTTCAGGCCCAAGTACCTACTAAAGGGTACATGGAGCCTTTGGGACGTCGATGGGTTCTTTGGGCTCGGGTCTTAAGATCTGGGGGGTTTTATGGTCGAGGATGAGGGTTCCTTAGAGGATCATGGGACTTAGTAGGTTATCACTGGGGTTATAAGTCTCCTAACTGGGGTTATCCGAATTATAGCTTACTTGTGACCTTACTTACTAAGTCCCATGATCCTCCAAGTGGTGTAGAACTCAACACGGAGGCCCACACCAACACCCTCAGAATGTGCCCGTCACCTCGGTGTCCAGCACACAGATCTTGACCTGAGGGTCAAGTCTCTGAATTACTTGGTTTGTCTCAATGGCCTGAACTCGGTTTACAAGGATCCGCATCAACATATATGTCTATATACACAGACTTACTTACGTGATAAAGAGCAGAAAGACAAGGCAAAGTCCAGCCCTTAACAACTAACCCAGACCAGTTTTCAATGGCACAGGGTGTCGTGATACCAGTGAGGCCGGTAAACAGCAGCAGAAAGGCTCTAATTTATCGGGACAGGGTGTGAACATGCTTTCAAACACTATGCTGCACGTCTCTACACGCATTCTTATCAGGATTTTAGGTGCCTGAAGCGCAGAGTTCGCGGCCCTAGGATGGATTTGCTCACCCCCCCCCTTTGTGTTGATTTCAGAGAACGGCCGGGATGGTTGACTAGGCCAGTACTGCTACGCTCGCCAACTCTCTTTGCGAATCTTCCGGAGGTCTCCTTTGGTCTCTTAGGAAGCAGGAACGGGAGTACTATCAAGTTTTCGGGGTCGAGCTGTTCAAGTGAGGGGGGGGGGGTTGACTATTGAGCGCTTGAAGAGGGATACCAGATCGACGTTGGCATAAGGCACTGCCACTGTAGGCACATGTCGTCTAGGGTTCGGGGGGGGCTGAAACTCAGCAGATCGGAAACCCTAAATGCCAGCTGTTGACCTCGGAGCCAAAAACATAGAAACCCTGAACCCAACCATAAGCCGTGCTGCATTGCTTCCACTGGCAATCGCATGGTCGATGCCACCGTAACCGATGTCCTGGGAGTGCCAGCGACGCAACGCATACGTTTCTACGCATTCAGTTTCGATCTTGGGAAAGGTTTGCCGTACCAGACACTCTTGAAGTGCTGCTTAACCCTGAAACCCTAAACCCTAAACTTAAACCCTAAACCCTAAACCCTATGAATTCACCATAACTCAAACTAATAAGGCTTTCGGTCCAAAGTCTACCCTAAAACCTGAACCCAATACCCAAAACCGTAAACACCTACCGGGCTAAAAGCCTAAGCCCAAATCATTGAAACACCAATGACTTGCCGGGGCTATCGTAGGCAGGATAACCCCAAATTGAACCCTACCGACATCTTCAACCTAAAACCTCATAAGGCCCGAAACGCTAAACCCTCGCACCTCAGCCCGAGACTCCCTTCTGTACACTCAACAATTACTTAGAGGATCATGGGACTTTTAGTAAGTAGGTTATAATGGGAGTTATAAGTCCCCTAAGTGGGGTTATCCTGATTTCTAGCTTACTTATAACCTTACTTACTAAGTCCCATGAGCCTTCAAGTAGGTCATCACCCGGAACTCCAGATCCCCTCCCGACCGAAGTTTAGGACGCAGGGTTGAGGTATTCATAAGTATGTATGTATAGCATAATACCCAAAACCCAATTTTAATTGTGGAGGTCCCTATAATATAGGTGCCTTCGGGGTCCCCCCCCAAGAGTTCCTAAGCCAAAAAAGAACTAGGCTGCCCAGTAACCCAGGAATTAAAAGGGCTCCGTTTTTGGTGTTGGGTAACTTTAATTATAAGGAACCTAGGACTACAAAAAGGGAATAAGGGTGGTACCGGTTGATGATATAAATCCTGCATTACCCACAATAAGGAATATGCCATTATTCCCATAGTTTAGGGTCCTTAAGGTAATGCAGGATTTATATCATCAACCGTACTGGGCATCCTGGAGAAGAAACTCCAGCCAAGAGCCGAAGGCTCAGTCAACAGACGAAGAGACGAAGCTCAAGCGTCTGCATGCTCGTGTGGAGATCTGAGAGCCTAGATCTAACCGACATATGTAGGTATGCATGGATGTATGCATGTTTATATGCACATATGCACATATATATATATATATGTATATATATATATATATATATACACTCCCTCTGTCTATGTATATATATATATGTGCACATACGTACATATTTATATATGCAGCAATTACAATACTATGTAATAACCGACATGTATGACCATGCTGACTTTGACCCGCTGCAAGATGAAATGCCGCTTTGGGCCCCGGGCATTGGCCCAGCCGTCGCCGCCGAACATCCACATGGAAGGCTTGGTGAACCTGGGAGTTCCGGTTCTACAGTAGAAGCCGAAAAGTCGAAAACCTCATAGCCTCAATCCTTAAGAGGAATGTATAGGGAATCCGGGCACTATTTGGCCTTAATCCGGTTTCCAACTTTATGGGGTTTACTATAGGGTGTGGGGACCGAGTCCGGATTTAGGGTTCAGTGGTCTAGGGTCTACAGGGCTTGGTATATATGTATCGTCAGCCTTGGTTACGATTTAGGGTTCAGGGTTTAGGGATGTTGAGGCTTTCTGTAGGACCTACCAGGCACTACCAAAGCCGACTTAGCCGACTTTAAAGTGGGCTCTGGCTATAAACACTCATCTGGGAGTTTCGGCCCCTACCATAAAGAAGCTTTCGGCAGGTTAAAGTAAGATGTATCGAGGGAATGGAGATGGACTCAGGCTTCAGGATTTGGGCTGCTGGCGTTTAGAGTTGAGTTGGGGGCTGACTAGATTTGCGGTCTTACCTTAAGGGGCCTTATGCCCAAACAGTATCTACTTTGGTATTCCTTATGTCGATACTTTAGGGCCAAGATAAATGCTATATATATATATATATATAATTTTCTATTGGGTACATAAACCCTTCGGCTTTGGGATCTTGGGAAGTTGAAGCTTGCCAGACCATCGGCTGTCGATTTAGGATTCACGGCTTTCAGGTGCTACTTTGGGGTTTACCCTTTGTCTGGTGGGTGGTTTGGTTTAGGGTTTAGGGTGTTTAGGGGATAGGGACTTTGGGGGTTAGGGTTTAGCGATAAGGGTTTAAGGGTAGAGAGCTCAGGGTTTAGGGGATTGCACAGCTTGTTCAAGGCCGTTTTCTGAACGTGAGGGTTTGTATCCCCAACCCCAAGCCAAGCCAAGATCCCAAGCTGCAAGCCCCGAACCTTAAACCCCGCAACCCCAACCCCCTAAACCCTAGACCGCTTATTGAACCCCCCAGTCCCTTCAAAAGGGACCCTGTTGTAGAACCCTATACCTAAACGCCCCCAGCTACCCACTGTTATACCCCAAATACCCACTAGTAGGGGCCATAAGGGCACTATTAAATGGCCCTCGGGGGTCCTGGTAGTACCCTAAGGTTGATATTTCTGGCCCCTCTGGCCTTCGCCACTGGACTTTCTGCGAAAACTTGGAACCCTGAAATGCATTTAGGGTTTAGGGGCTTGGGGTTTAGGGGTTTTGGGGGTTAAGGTTTAGGGGTTTAGGGTTTAAGGGTTGAACTAAGGGGTCAGGGTTCAGGGTTTAAGGGTTTAGGGTGCAGGGCAGGGAATCATAGCTGGCGTAACCGGTTGCCCTCATCCCCTACACTCTTCCAAGCAAGCCAGTGCCGCTACACTTGGGCGCGGGACTAGCTTTTGACGAAGCTTATAGGCCATTAATTATAGGCGAGACGAGACGAGGCAAGTACGAAGCCTGCAAAGCCCATCCCTCCTGCCACTGCCATTGCTGGCACATGTTGCTACGGGAGATCTCCGTGCGACCACCACGGCCCGCTTGTTGGTGCAATTGCTGCGGAGAAGCCTTGGTCTGACGAGTTGCGGTCGGCGGGCCTTGTCGTCAACCACTTGGATCTTGCACACGCCCGAGCTGAGCACAGTTGTGCAGTCTCCGAACGTTAGTCCCGCTTCGGCAACCGCCGTGCAGACGATGATGCGATGCTCTCGAGACTGGAGGACTAAGTGTCGCTCTGCGACAAACTGCCCATAAACCTCCAAGTACTCCTCTTGCACAGGGATCACGCTCCTCCGAGGCTCCATCTGCGTTGAAGGGGACAGTAGTGCTTCGGCGAAACCGACTCCAAACCCCTAGGGTTTAGGGTTTAGGGACCCGAACCACCCCAAGCCCTAAATCCAAACCCCCCTCAACCCCTAAGCCTTAAACTAAAAGCTGCAAGCCCCTAAACGCTCCGTAAACCCAAAGCCCCTGACCGCGAAACCCGAAAACCCTTTACAGCCCTAAAGAGCCCCTAATGGAGCCTTGAAAAATCGTATAACCCCGGCAAACTCTGAACTCGTTTGTGCAGTCAAGGAACATGTCCTTCAAACGGATGAGTTCGGCAATCTCCTGCAGCTTTTTTAAACTTTTGTGCTTCCAGAGTTAGGGTTCCGGGCTAGGGTTGTAGACTTTTGAGGGGGGCCTGCAAAGCCACGAAAAACAAGATTTGGGGCTTGAAGGTCCAAAAAAAGTGTTTGGGGGAGATCTGAGATCTGCAGTCTAGAGATTCCAAGGTGTCTTTTTTGTTTTGTTGCGGACCCTTTCCCGACTGCAGTACCAGAAGGAATACCTTACCAGGTGGAGCCTACGTTGAGGCCTCAGATTCCAAGGGTTTGGAGTCTCGGGATTTAGGGGTTTGGGGAATTAGGGGTTATAGGGTCTAAGGGTTTAGAGGCTTAGGGGTTTGGGGGTTTCGGGTTTTGGGGCTTTGGGCTTTTAGGGGTTTAGGGGTTTAGGGTTTAAGGGTTTGGGGGTTTGGGGTTTAAGGGTTTAGGGTTTGGGGGTTTGGGGGTAAGGGGCTTGGTTTTCGGGCTCTCGACATATCTAGGCTGATGGTTCAAGCGTTTGGGGCGTTAAGGTTTCTTTTTAGGGGCTGTAGGGTTTGGGGTTTTGAGCTTCAGGGTTTTGTGGTTTCGACGACGAACCGAAGAGAAGGCCCTTCCAAGCCCTGAAACAACGCCTTCCACTGCAAAACCTGGAGTTCAAGACTTACCTTCAACCAAGAACCTATCTTTTCAGGGTCATGTATATATATATATATATATACATATATATATATATATATATGTATACAGATATATACATATACATATATATATATATAAGAAGGAAGTCATAATAAGGAAGCCTGCAAATCTAGGTGTCGTAGATTCCAGGAGAGGTCTAGGGCTGAGCTGGACACCAAGCAGCCTCAGCCAATAACTTTGGAGCCTCAATGAAGCAGTGTCTCAAGCCTACAAAGACCTATGTTAGACTAGAAGTTCTCATTCCGTACCCAACTCCATAGCCCGAGAGCCCCCAAAAACCATAAAACCCTAAACCCAAACCCCTAGAACCCTCAAGACTCAAAGGCCCTAATAGACGAAAACCCTCAACCCCTATGTAAAGTCCCAGAACTCTTACATCCTCGACTTCACAGCCCTAAACGCTTAGGGCCTTAGGGCTTTAGGGCTTAGGGCTTAAGGCTTGAGGGCTTAGTGCTTAGGGCTTTAGGGCTTAGGGCTGAGGGCCGGGATTAGGGTTTAGGAGGAACACCCTGCACCCCAAAGTTTAGGGCTTAGGGTCCACACGTCTCCACCCTATAGGCCCTACCCTCAGCACTCCGCACTAAAGTTTAACATTTAGGGTCTACACCCTAGAGGCCTGATCCCAAACCCTAACGTTTAGGGTTTGGCGTCTACACCCTACTAGGCCCTACACCACAATCCTTGGCTTTTCCCTGCTCGGCATTCAGCAGCGGCAAGATCTCGTCGCTCAAGCGCTCCGAGATGATACCGTCCTCTGAGGACGGTGATATAGGGGTCTCAATTAATTATTAGGGTGTTGGTGTAGATTTTACTCTAACTATAGTAAGGAACCACCAAAATACTGTAGGAAATTATTCTAAGGCCCTGTAGCCCCTATATCGGAGGAACTCCTTAATGTGGGTGTCGGTTTAGGAATATAGGCTCCTTTAATGCGTCGGCTCCGGGGCTAATTCCGAATCTGACCAAAAATTTGGGGGTACTAATTATTGCGTTTTTTTTTTGGCTGGGGTGATTTTTTGGTGGCGGGGCTGTGCTATTGGCTGATGGTCAATCTTAAGGCAGCCACGACCCAAACCCCCACCCAAACCCCCACCCAACCCTAAAACCCTGGCCCTGAAGCCCGAAAATCTCTTGCAGAATTGTTTCGCTTATTGGGGCGTCAGGAATGAGACTCTGTACTACTACTGTACTACTACTGTACTACTATTGTACTATTGTACTGCTACTGTATGCCTTGCTTATTGGGGGGGGCTGCTAGGGTGAACCGCCGAATTGGGAATTGGACCCTTGCTCGACAAAGGCCTCTCCAGTACTAAAGTTTGTATAAAAAATGCAATTTTGGGTCCAATCCGGACCGACCCCCCTTTTGGAAGGGTTTAGGGCTTAGGGTTTAGGGCTTGTTAGGGTTTAGGAGTTTAGGATTCGTTAGGGTTTAGGGTTTGTTAGGGTTTATGGTTCAGGGTTTAGGGTTTAGGGTTTCAGGCGCTGGCTTTATGCTTTGCTTATTGGGGGAATGTGCTCACTGGCTTTATGCTTTGCTTATTGGTACTATTTCTGTACTATTACTGTATTACTACTGTACTACTGTACTACTGTCGTACTACTACTGTACTACTAGTGTACTACTGTACTACTACTGTACTAATACCGTACTACTATTGTACTACTGTACTATTATCGTACTACTACTGTACTACTATTGTACTACCACTGTACTACTGTTGTATTACTATTGTACTACTGCACGATTATTGTACTACTACTGTACTACTACTGTACTACTATTGTACTACTGTACTATAATCGTACTACTACTGTACTACTATTGTGGTACTATTGTACTACTGTACTATTATTGCACTACTACTGTACTACTATGGTACTACCACTGTACTACTGTTGTATTACTATTGTACTACTGCACTATTATTGTACTACGGTACTATTATCGTACTGCTACTGTACCACGACTTTACTACTATTGTAATTCTGTACTATTATTGTACCGCACCAAGCTTCAGACGTGGTCGATTTGTGGGTGGGAGTGTGGGAGTGAGTGTAGGTTACGGAGGCTAAAAGTGTTCAAAACGAAGGGTTTTTAGTCTTGGTAGTAATCTTGGAGTGAAGGGGCTTGGTTTCCAGCATTTGGTGATCCCCAGACCCCCCCGACCGCGCATTCGCGCAGAACCGCAGACCCTGCACCCAAGCCAGCCCCCAAACCCCGGCACCTCCCAATTCCCTGCCACTCAGACCCCTGACCCCTGTCCGGCGTCACCGGCTCCGTATTAAATAGATTTTTTTTTTGGTTGGGGGGAAGGGGGGGGGTACCCGACTATTAAACCGACACCCGCATTATTGCTGCAACCCGAAGGGTCCGTGTACCGAAATACTATATGTACCTCGGCCTTAATGGGGTTCCTGAACAAGTAATTTAGGATCAATGTATATGCGTACTATATGGGTTATAGAGGAGCCTGCATAATTAGAATCATCGGAGAAGGCATCTGGGAACAACGGTAGTATAGCAATAAAAGGTGCTGTGCGGGGATAGTGTCCTGTTCTTAGCCACTCCAGACTTGAGCCCAGCGTAGCGCTGCAGTGCGCCCCGTTAACACAGCAAATGAGGACCGACACGCCGCGGTGCAGCAAGGAGATCACATTGTCGATCGCGGCCAGCACGGATTGTTAACCCGGGTTGCCGTGCACGACACTAGTCCCATCTGTGCACCTCAATACACGGATCGCCGCTGTGTCATCCGGCTGGACCGACTTGACCGCAGGCCACACCGCACCGATTCCATTCTTGATCATCAAGTTCCTGTCGGTGCCTGCTTTCGATCCGCCGAGCCACAACTTGGAACCGAACTCATTTGTCAGGTCCAGCAAGACATGGGCAGGATGCCTACACAGGGCCCAAACAGAAAAGTTAACAGAGTCAGGAGTCCAAAGTCATTAAAGACGAAATCCCCGGCTACGCTTTAAAGCAAGCTTAAACCTAACTTAAAACTGCCTCCTGCTTCCTATGACTATAACTCAAACTAATCATTAGTACCGGGTTTAGGCTTGAGGGTTTAGCGCTTATTGTCGAGAGTTAGGCTTCAGGGTTGAGGGCTTCAGGGAAAGTTGGGATTAGGCCTTAATCACTAAACCCTAAATTCCTGTAAGGGTATCGGGGCTATAGGGGTTCAAGGTAGGGTTTGGGGTTTAGGGTTCATGGGCCCTCGCGGGGGTTTGAGTTTACGGATTCAGTGCCTTCTCAGATCAAAAAGTCCGGGATTTGGGGTGTAAAGGTTTAGAGCCTTTGAATGTCAAGGGGTCCTTGGCTTAGGGTTTAGGGTGTAGTGTTGTGGGGCTTCTAGGGTTTAGGGTTCAGGGTTTAGGGTGTAGTGTTATGGGGTTTCTAGCGTTTAGGGATTCAGGGTTGATTGGTTTGGGGTTGAGATAATAAGAGTTGAAGGTTAAGGCTTCTAGGGTCCAACTGTTTAAGGCTTTCCAGGCCGAGAGCCGGAAGCTTAATATAGGGGCCCAAATAAGTAGAAGAGTGTTTTGGAGCCCATTGAAGTATAGTTAATAAGGAACCCCCGAAATAGCCCCTATTCGAGGGAAGTTGGGAATCGGCCCGGCCGGGTAAGCGGCGGCCACATGAAGGTCCAGAGACTTCCAGGGGATTCAGGAAAAGCGAACACCGGCGGTTTAGGGTTTAAGGCTTAACCCTACCCCTCCGAGGACCTCATCATTAGGGCCCTAGACCCCTTGACCCCATAATAAGGTCCCTGGAGGCATAGGGTAAGGTTTAGGGTTTAGTAGGGTACTGCAGCTGGGCCCCTCTCCAAGTAGCATTCAAGCATGAGGGCTCGGGGGTCGTCGCAGAAAAAGCTGTCAACCCAAAAAACAGAATAAAGGCACGGGTTTCTACAATGCTTTTCTTTGCCAAGTCTATGATTGTAACCTTGCCAATGCAATCTTCAACGACGCTTTTGGCAATCTTGCAGTGTGTGACTAATTCAGCGACAATATGTTGCAAGAATCGACTCTACTTGGAGGGGCAGGGGACTTAGTAAGTCGGTCATAAGTAGGGTTATAGTTGGGGTAACTCCATTTAGGGTACTTATAACTCTACGTATAACCTACTTACTAAGTCCCCTGCCCCTCCAAGTAGGATCTGATTGGACACAGGTTTCTCTCCGAGACGGAAGCCGAACCCCCTCAAGTAGCAGCCAGAAATCTGGAGCATCATTAGCCTCATGCACTTCATGTAAGGTAAAACCATACCAGTAGCACTAACCAACCGAAATCTATGTCGCAACTTTCTGAGGTTCAGTAAATATACAACCCCCAAAGCCCTAAAGCCTAAACCAGGTAAGCCCTCACCCAAATCCCCGCGGCCCATCGCCAAAGCTGTCCTCTCCAAACTCCAGCCATTGCTCCAACAGGCTCCTGCTGCTGAAACTCAGACAGTTCGTTCTGAGACCCCATGCTCTACAGGGCTTAGGATTAATGGGTTGAAGGGCACAGCCTAAGTAAATCCTAAAGCCTCTGAGCCCAAACCCTGAAACGGTACAGCCCAAAACCAACCGTGTTCGCTTCGGTACGACTTGGGGCTTATATCCTGCAGCCCGAGCCTCGGCCCCGAAAACTTAACCCAACAACTCTTTGAACCATCCCCGAACGTGCCAAACAAAGCACAAGAAAACAAGTGCCTACAATATGCCAGCCTGGAAATGGCCCAACTTTCTAATTAGACTAGGGCTTGGGGGTATATGACACTATACGTATAATGAGGAACTCCCAAAACCCGCATCCTACAGTAGGTCTCTCAAGCCCCTCACTCTAAACCCCACCGCCTCGAGCTAAAACCCTCCAGAACTCTGAGTCCTAAGCTCCTGTAGGAGACTGAATTATTTCTAAGAGCACCCCTTATATAATTCCTGTATGACACTACGTAGCAGGATATACCAAAGGCCCTTCCGCTAGTTCTGAGGTTTAGCCTACTATAGGGAATAGAAGTACCTGCAACCATTGGTCACCCGAAGCCCCCAAACCCCCTAAACCCCTAAACCCTAAACCCCAAACCTAAATCCCTAAATCGTGTTTTAACTGCGTGGTTTTTTGTGCGCCTCAGCGCGACGCTGAGGGATTTCCCTGCCCTGGCAAGAGCCGCCTGGCGCAAGGCAGATACATAATGCAGGGGCTTTAGTACTTAGAATAGGGTTCCCTTTAAAGCGGTTAAAGGGGTTTATATAAGGGCTACGATAAGGGATCTATAAGGGTACTATACTACGGGGGCCTTAATTCTTAGAATAGGGTTTTGGGGCCCAACTATGCTGTAATCATAACCAGGAACCCCCACAACAGTATTGGGACTAAGTTTCGGGTTCAGGTATTCATGCTTCATGCCACCCCGTGGGGCTCTAATTATATATGTATATATATATATATACACACATAAATATATATATATATATATATATATATATATATGTGTGTAACCCAAAAACCCAAATATCTGGAGACCTCTGGACCTGCAAGATGTGGGTCCAACAAGGGTTTTTCTGAAAAGTAAACACCCTATTTTGCGAGCCCAGCGACGAAAGGGTACTTGATAAGAACGCCCTTAAGGGATGTTCTTTCCAACATGGTTTCGGGTGTAGAATTTTACTTTGTTTTTTTTGTTTTTTTTTGGTTTGTTTTTTCTTTGCCCTGGGCTCCTGCGTTCTCCGTCTTTGCCCAGGAAAACAACTCTATTCCCTGGGTTTCTCTGCATTTCCACCGCAAAACATCTCTTTTCCCTCTGTTTGCCTAGGAAAACTTCTGTTTCCCACTGTTTTCATAGGAAAACCCTCTGTCTTCTCTGTATTCTACTAAGCACAAACACTTGGTTTCATTTGCATGTCCACAGGAAAACCTGTCTTTTCTTCTTTTCGGATAGGAGAACTTCTCTTTTATACGACAACCCTCCCATCTAGAATTCGAAATCTAAACCCCAAGACCCTGGGTTCTCCCAAGCGCACCCGCTGCACAGAGGGTCCTGCGACGAGTGATTATTAAGCTATTGGGGATTGGGGTTGGGGTTTGAAATGCCAGTCAGGCCTGAAAGGCCCTCGGCCTACTGTCACGACAGCAGGCATCAGCGTCGTCGTCAAAACTTCCGAAAACCCAAGAGAGAAAGTTTCTCGCACTCCGTGATCGATGCTTTCCGCAAACTTGAGGCATGGTTGTTGAGCGGAAGCTCGTGTTTGAGACACATGCATCCGCGAACTGCTTTCCGAAACTTGCGACATGGTGTGAGACGTACAAACTACATCTACACCTGTGAGCTGCCCCGAAGCTCTTCCGCACTTTTGTCCTGTCTAATTGAGAGGTCTTGTTCAATTTTTGTCGGCCCAGTGGCTCTCCTACTCCTACCTGCCCTGAGACTCGCACTGACATGACAGGTCTGGTGTTGTGGCTGTGGATGTGGATGTTGCTGTTGAAGTTATTATCAACGATGTTGTTGTACTTGTCGCTGTCGCTGTGCATATCGTTGTCGCTGTCGGTGGTGCTGTTGTCATTGGTGGTGGTGGTGGTGGTGGTGGTGGTGGTGGTGGTGGTGGTGGTGGCGGCGGTGGCGGTGGTGGTGCTGCTGGTCGGTGTAGGTGTAGGTGGGGGTGGCGATAGGCGTCGGTTCAGGTCAAGGCTTAGGATGGTTGTTTCAGTCTACGACGCCGCGCCGGCAGCAGGCTAGGCGGCCGTCGTGGCAGCATTGCCGGTGGCGAGGGGACTGGCACCTCCAAGCTGAAACCGTCCCTCCGAGATATGTTCCTCTCTAAGACTCAGCCAACGACAGGTCGTCCTCCTGCTGCGTTCCGTCCCGATGCACGGTGTCCTCCTGCACAAGAATGCTGTTCCAGTCACGGGCGTGGCGGTACCCGCAGCTGCTTGCTACCGTGACCCCCGACCTGCAAAAGGTCGTCAAGGTAAGCTTTGGCACGGAGCGCAAACTGTCTGCAGGGTCGGCTTGCAGCACATAAAGGAATGCATACTCGGCTAGCCTTGGACTATGTATATTTTTGCGGGTGATGTAAGTCGACTGGTAGCGCCGGGATTAAATTCAAGCAAGCGTCTTGTCGTTTAACAACCAACTTGCACAGGGTGGCCAGCTTCTTTTCAGAGGCTTGCAAATCGTCAAGATGCATGCCCTACAGCGCTCGCTCAAGATGCTGAAACCGCATGTGCACCTGTTTAACACAGTGTGCTAAGATTTCAAAAACGATTGGAGCAAACCCGGCATGAGTGTGCGGGTGACCTCTCCATCGTCGCTGGCTGTGTCAGCAGGCTTGCACTTTTGAACCCTGGATATGCAAGGGTGACAAAGCGCAAGATTGTTGTCGGGCTTCAGGCCGTAGTGTTTTACAACACGGTCACGAAGATCTCTTCGCGGCTTTCTCAGTTTCGTGAACAGCTGACGGCACACTTTGCACTGTCGTCGCCGCTGATGAGCCTGGCAACACAAGAACCGCAGCTGGGAGCTGGGCTTTCACTTCCGGTGTGGGACATGTCGAGTAGGGTACGATGCAATTTTGCACTACGGCCAAATGAGGAATATGCAAGTCAAGACTTTCACAGAAAAGCCGACAACGGCTCGGGCCTTCTTGGGAGAGCCGTCGTCACCCACCATGCGGCAGCAGAGCTCCGGCCCTCGAGCCCTCTAGTCTTGAGCGCTTCGCTCGGAGATATGAAGTTTACACGATCCATTTTCCGTGTCTATTTCTCAATGGCAACTATGAAGTCTGTACTTCCTGCTTGAAATCCTGCATAGAGCCTCATGTCCACTGAGTTAGACAACGTCAGGCATGATTGTTTGGGAACCGAGACCCTCTCCTGCCAGTGGCAGCTCGGAGATATGATGTCTGCACGACAGATAGATCGTATATACATTACATGCTGGTAGATGTGCTTTACGTATATGTATGTATGCACGTAGGTGTGTATGCATGTAGGTGTGTAGGTGTGTGTGTGTGTGTGTGTGTGTCTATATACATATATAAAGCGAAAAGCACAACAAGACAGAAAACGAACACGACAAACAACAAGCAAAGAAAGCAACAAGAAGCGGAGCGTGAAGAAAATACATAAATAAATTGCAGAAAACAAAAAGCAAAGAAAGCAGCAGAAAGCGGAGTGCAAAGCAAAGGCAGAAAACAAAAAACAACAAGTAAAATAAGAAAAACAACAGAAAGCAAAAGCAACAATCACAACAAAGCAAGAAGCAAAGAAAGCGGCAAGCGGCAGAAAGCGGAGCGCAAAGCAAACGCATGGAGAACGACCGCCTTTATCCGAGGCCCCCAAAGGCAATAAAAAAAGGGCAACGAAAACAAAAAAAAAGTCAAGAACAATAGGGTCCCCACATGGCTCTGGGCTTTGGGATTTAAGTGCTCAAGGGCTGAAGATGAGGTTGTGCGTTATGAGGGCTATCCCTGGGACTCCGAGTTTCTAGGATTTTGGACTCCGAGGTTCACGTTTGAGATATAGGGTGAAATCCAAAGCCTAACTCCCGAACTCGAATTTGCGATCTTGTCGCCCAGCACGTCTCCGTCTTCATTATTCTCTATACGCTACAATGCTATGTATATTATATATGATATATGATATATCATATGGTGATATCGTTATATGTAATAAAGTGTGGCCTGCTCTGCCCTCCTTCGAGACTTCGGAAGGAGGGTTGAGCTTCCCAGGCTCATCAGAGGCGCACATCCGGACACAACCCTGACACCCTGATACAACCGTGAGCCATAGTACAGCTTACGCACAGGCCCCATAGTCGTTCCGTTTTGGGGTTCATGTGTAGAATTATTCTATAAGGTAATCCCAACAAGGAACTACTACGGCACCTATGGGTAGGCGACTTAGGGGGTATTCCTAAACCCTAAGCCTGAGACATAGTAGATGTGAGGGGGTCTCCCTAAACCCTGCAAGCTTTCGATTCTGTGCGGACCGTGAGTCATATGTCAAGGAAGCGACCAAAAACTTGTGAATCTAAGAATCTAAGTCATGTATTCGGCTGACAATAAATACCAACCCAGCTTCGACTTCGACCAGTTGGGGAGCATGTTCTAACAGACTCTTCTGGACGGAGATCTTTTAGCACAATGTTCAAGCCCCCGAAACCCTAAAACCCCTTACGAAGTCCTTGAAACACCACTTGTTTTGAAATGCCTCCACACGATCACGCAGCTGGCGCCGACGTTGGCGGACGTGGATGACCTGAAAGAAACCGGATCGAAGATGCTGGTGGCGAGTGAAGCTTTTGGTCCGAGACTGACTAAAATTACCATAGGCTGTGAAACGGTGCATGATATAAATCCTGCATTACTTAAGGACCCTACACTATGGGAATTATGGTATATTCCTTATGATGGGTAATGCCTAATGTATATCATCAACAGAAGTTTCCGAGTTTTATGGATCTTGCACTCCGCCTCGTTTTTGGGATGTTTACGTTCGATGTGGCGAGGAAGCTCATGGACGCAGCCTGTGATATGTGCCTGGCCGAGTGGGGCAACCTTACACCAGATATGAGGCCTGAGTACCTGTGCACTCTATTCCTGGGGGTTCCCACAAATAGTGACAGTGCTGTGTACACCAACGACCCATTTTAATTGACAAGGGCATGATATTGAACCCTGCCAGCGCTCCCGAACCTTGAAAGCCTCAACAACAAACTTCAAACCTGAAAGAACCCTACACCCCATTAAAAAACCAGCAACACCTTAAAACCCTTCAAACCTCCGCAAACCCTACACCCTGCACTCCCGAAATCAAAAACACCTAGAAATCCGTGAGGCCTCTTGAACCCAACCTAAACCCTAAGCCCTCAACCCCTACAATAACCCCTCAAGCCTGTAGGCTCCCTACACCCTGAAACCTTAAACCCCAAAGTCCTAAAGCCCCTATAATAAGCCCCTAGCTTCAACGAGGGAATCTGGCCTGTCCCAGCCCGTACTCCGCGTTGTCCTCGAACAGCGAGTTGCCCCAGGCAGTGCCCTTGCCCGACTCCTGGCATCATCGGAAGCTTTCAAAAGAAGGTGCAGGGTCTAGGGGGCATTAGGATTTCTGTAGGGTTCTGGAGTCATCGGAAGCCGAAAAAAAGGGGGTGTCCAGTGCTCAAGGGCTTTGGGGTTTCGGGCTTCGGGGCTTCAGGCTTCGGCGCTTCAGGGCGTCGGACCTTCAGGGTGTAGGGCTCTGGAATCATCGCAAGCCGTAGAGGGGGTCTGCTGATATCTGTGGGGCCCTTTTTGAAATATACTTCAAGTAACGTACTAGACTGTAATTTCAGGCAGGGACCTAAGAATCCGAAACACAACGACATCATTCTGACCCGGACCACGTCCTAATCAAGCATCTCACCGTAAACCGCAAACCGGAGACTTTCTGTACTCCATAAGCAACGAACTGCTGCCCCACTTGACGACAAGCGACAAGAGCGGCTGCACCACATTCCCCTGTCCCCGCCCAGAATTCCAAACAGTGCAAATCTTAGCATATGTACATGCATACATAAATGCGTGCATACACATCTCAATATTACATGCATACATGCATGCATGCATACATACATACATACATACATACATACATATAATATATATATATATATATATATATATATATATATATATATACATATATATATATATATATATATATATATATCGATACATGTATACATCTGCAGACATATCGTGGTCTGCACAGGCTCTGACGATCTGAAAGCCCTGCAATGGAACTCAAGAACGCTCTGAGCACGAATTCTGCAAATGAGATACCCAGCAGGCCCCGTAGTAGTTCCTTTTTGGGGTTACTTGATAGAATTCTACATATGAACCCCCAAAAGGAACTACCATGGGGCCTATGGGTACTCAGAAGGCCAGTCATGAGCCTAAGCAAAGGAAAGAAGCAGAAGGCGATTGTCATGATTCCAACAAGCTCAACCCTACCTAGAGGGTCATACCCTACCCCATTTTTAGGTTACCTAGTTTTATGGTTAGGATCTCCTATATAGAAAAGTAGGTACCTTAAAAAAGGGTAGGGTATGAGCCTATAGGTAAACCGTCACCGCGGGTTGTCTGAAAAGCCGGCCTTGTCCGTGGCATAGGGCACCTTATGGCTTCATGCCGCAGCGATGCCATGTTACTTATGGTGTGGGGTTTGGCGTTTGCGTTGCGCGGTAATTATTCTGGGTGTCGGCTTCCGAAGACCACAGTGAGTCATCATTGTCGCCAGCATCATCAAAGACACAATCATCGTCAGCATTAATGCTCAACATCGTCGACTCCATAGCTCTCAACTTCGTTACGGGACAAGACCTTGTTTGTGGCAGGACAGGTTCGTGGTTGTCATAGCCGCCATCGACCTTATTCATGATTATGACCATCCCAAAGGCTCCATGTACCTTTATAGTAGATACTTAAGCCCCAACGTAGTCCCTATATAGGTACTTTAAGGCCTAAGTATATACTATATGGGTACATGGAGCCTTAGGGAATTGTTTTCGCTATCGTCGCCAGTGGGCCTCTCACATGCAGCAAACCATGATCAAGGTATCTGGATCAGGTGAGCGTTTAGCGGCTGAGGGCTTTTCTGAGAGTCTGCTACGCAGACCTTCTACTGTAGGCTGTTCTGGAGGATGGTGTACGGGTTTGGGTAATCCTAGCGCCGGGCATGATTTTCGATTCAAACACCCTAGAAACCTACAACCTTGAACATGCCAAGAACATCTGTCCCCAGCCGCCCCATACCCGAGAGGGATCCTGTCTCTTCGACCTCGATCGGATCCAGTCTCAGCCCCCGGCCCATCCGGCAGTTCCTCCCCAAATGCTGCTGCAGCCTGGCGCAGTGGGTGGGGCCGGAATCTCCCGACTCGACGTCCGGAGTTGCAACGCGGTCATGTTCATACCAACCCTAAACAATCCTAAATACCTAAGCCCAGGATATCTAGCGGTGCTTGGAGGTTCATGGGTAGTTATAAGTGGGGTTATAAATCCCCGAATATGTCTTATAGGTATAGACACCCCACTTATAACCCTACGTATAACTACGCATGAAGTCCTCTTGCCTCCAAAGAATTCCAAATTCATCCTGCATGTCCCATCTGAAAGCCTCGACAACTGCTGTTTCTCAGAACCCATCCGCCTGCAAGTGCTGCCTTAAAGACGCAGCAAAGCCGAAGTAAAAACTATCTACGTATCCTTTCCTTCAGAGCATCCGTTAAAGGAACCCTTAAAGCAACCCTAAAAAGGGAATCCTCATGGGCACTAAACCCCAAACCCTAGACCCTTAGCCAGCCCGAAGCCCCGAACTGTTCGCTTGGGCTTTGGGTTTCGGCTGCAGAGGGCAAACTGCATATCTTCATGTTCACGGAATATGGGGGCCTTAAAAGTCTGCACCTTTCTGCGGCCTTCCACAAGCTTCGCTAAAGCCCTAAACCCCCTTCTAGAACCCATGGGTCCACTTGAAAGGGACCCCATTGGCAGAGCCCTATAGTACCCTAAACCCCTAAAAACCCTGAACCGCTTATAGGACCCCATAGCCCCCTTAAATTACCAAAAACACGACCCTAGTGTAGAACCCTATAGTACCCTAAACCCCGAAACCGCTTATAGTATAGAACCCCACTTTCCCCTTATTTTTTTTTAAGACTTTAGTGTAGAACCCTATAGTGCCCTAAACCCCTTAACCCCAATTTTGACACTTCCGGCTTTGCGGGACACAAAACCCCAAACCCTAAACTCGGCAGGGGAAGAAGCCTGTGGCGTTGGCGACGATCAGGCGCTTGCCGAACCTGATTCAGCAAGTCACCGTTTAGGGTCTAAGGGTTTAGGGGTTTAGGGTCTGGGGGTTGAGAGTTTCAGGGTATGTGGTTTGGGGTCTAGGCCGTTAGAGCGAGTAGGTTACGAACAGTACAAAAATTGAAACCCAGCTACTAGCCATAAACTTATGTGCGTATATATATATATATATATATATGTATATACACACACATAACATGTACAACCCAGTGACCGGCTATTTAGGTAAATGGAGCCCTACCTAGTAGGGTATGATACCTAGCAAACTTCGCCCCTCAAATTTGCTCAGAAATCCGGGCCGATCGCTTCTTTGAGACTCTTGTGCGGTTCACGGTTTAGGGTTCAAGGCTTAGGGTTTAGGTTTTCGGGTTTAGGGTAGTCGAGGAATAGCGGTGTCAAGACAAGACTTTTGCCTTCGTGGAAGTACATACTGCAGGCTTGCACCACAGCAAGGCTGGTGGTGTACGCGAGCAGAATGACCGCCTTCATCTGATCCGCCAGGGATCGGCCGTGCTGTGCCATGACTTTGATGACATCTGCAACTCCGAGTCGGGCCGTGATTAGCATCGCCCATGCGAAGAGAACAACCTCATGGCCATGGTCCGTGGATCGGTAGCTTTGAAGCAGTCGTGAACTTTGTGGCGTCCAGGCACTGCATGTTCCCGACGTTTCAAGGCTTCAAAGCTCACAACAACACTTGGGATTTCAGGGCTCTGTGCTGAAGTTCTGTGATACCCCAAAGGTTTAAGGACTCAATAATCAGATACTCTCCGAAATCCTAGCCTACATAAACACTATCCTAAACCCAAGTGCTTTGCTATTGAGTCCTTTGGACCCTTGGGGGTAGGGTTCAGGTTTATAACCCGGGTCGAGGAATTTGAGTCGTCCAATATAGATATAGCGAATAGAGATGTTCGAGTCAGTGGGTGCTATAGTTTAGGGATTAGGGCTTGGGTTTAGGGTTTAGGGTTTATAGTCGGTGTGCATCCGAGAACCTGCTGTTTTACGGTTTAGACCCGAGCATAATGGGGGCACAAGCTGCCATTTTGTAGGGTTTGGGCATACAGGTGAGGTGGAGGGGCTAGGCATCACACATGCAACTGGAATGCGCCATGCAACATCTTTGCAGCCGCGGTGCATCTGTGTCACAAGCTTGGCATAGGGAGTCTCGCCGCATCCTGCTTGGATGTTGCTTAACTTACGAAAGCTTACGGTTTAGATTTCGGGGCATAATACTGTGCATACACTGACCTGAGCAATGTTTCGTTGTTCAGGCCATTACCTTACATAGTAGGAGTCGGGTGTTTCTAAGTGGGTGTGAGGCGACTCGGGGAGAGGGGCAGGAGACTCGCAGAGTGATTGTCGTTGTGGTTACAGAGTCTCAGAGCAAAGCCTCTGCGAATCCGAAATGCTTAAACACCCACACCCCTAAGCCCACAAAAAAAACGGGAACTCTCTGAACCCGAAAGCTTTGGTATAGGAAGCCCCTAAACCCCTGAACTCTGAAGACCAAAACTCTGCAAACCCTAAGGCCCTGGAGCTTTAAGCATCATCCAATCACCCAGACCTTCCAAAATCCCTTAATTAAGGAATATACCTTAAATCATATTGGGGACCTTACTATAATTTAAGGTATATTCCTTAATTAAGGGATGTTGGAAGGTCTGGGCACCTGATGCCGAAACCCCAGTCTCGCTGCCTTCGCATGCGCCAGAGAACTCCAGCAGAGGCTCCTCCAAAGGGTTTAGGGTTTAGGGAGTTTAGGGGAGTTTGGGGCTTTAGGGTCAGGGCCTTTAGGGTTTAGGGTTTAGGGAGTTTAGGGGAGTTTAGGGTTTCAGGGTCAGGGCCTTTAGGGTTTAGGGTTTAGGGGGTTTAGGGGAGTTTAGGGTCATAGGGTCAGGGCCTTTAGGGTTTAGGGTTTAGGGGTTTAGGGTAGTTTAGGATGTCAAGGTCAGGGCCTGGCAGTTTAGGATTTTAAGGTCAGGGCCTTTAGGATTTAGAGGTTTCAGGGTGTAGGGTTTAGGGTTTCGGCAAGCTTCAAAGCTTAGCTGTTGATGCACTTGTGGTGAGTAGGGTCTAGGTTGTCTATGGACTGATGGTTTCAGGTTTGGGGTTGGTAAGGCTTTCGAGTAATGCTTTATGCAAACCTTAAGCCCCTAAACCCTAAACCCAAGCCCTTGCGGAACTCGGTTGTAAGCCAAATCACCCCCGACCGATTCAGCAGTTTCGAGCTGCTGTCACCGTGCAGGGGTCTAAGGGTTCCTTTAAAAGGATCCATAACAGTCCCTTTAAAGGGATTCATAAGGGTCCCTTTAAAGGGAGCTATAAGGGTCCTATACAGGGGTTTAGGTTTAGGGACCCGTCACTTCAAAGCTATCATGCCAAGGCTTGGGGTGTGGAGCATCTGCCTTTGTCAATGCTCACAGCGAACCTTTCAGTATCCTAGAAATTCAACAGTCAACTACAAGAGAAGACCACAAGACCTGATTTAAAGCTCAGTACCCTAAACCTGTATAGGACCCTTGTAGCTCCCTGTAAAATTTTAAAAGATCCCTTATGGATCCCTTTACAGGAACCTCTAAACCCCCAAAAGATGACCCACGTCGCACCTGGAACTGGGAGCCCTTGAGGGTGTTGGCATCGAATCGCTTGCCGCGGTTCGGAATCGACATGGCATAGTCCTGACAGAAAGGGTTTCCCAAAGGGTCCAAAGTACCTTTATAGTAGAATGTAGGGTTTCTATATTAGGAATTACTATTATGATTTGGGGAAGTATCCCCCATAACAGTACATCGGAGCCTTTGGGTTTAGGGTAATTATGGAGTTTAGGGGGCTTGGGGTTTACGGTTTGGGGAGTGTATAGGGTTTAGAGGTCTGGGTTTAAGCAGTTTAGGGTTTAGGGCGTTTGGGATTTGGAGTTTACGGAATTTAGGGCTTAGGGAGTTCAGGGTTTAGGGTATTTCTAGGGTTTAGGGAGTTCAAGGTTTTCGCGAGCTTATAGAGCTGAAAGAGTTTAGGCTTTAGGGAGTTGAGGGGGAAGGGCCTGAGGACGTGCTGATGGCTTATGGTTGAGGCTCGGTGGGGTAGCAAACTCTTGGAGACCGCAACAACCCAGAGATCCAAATACCCCTCAATTAAGGAATATGGCTTAAATCATATAGGGGTTCATATTATGATTTAAGCTATATTCCTTAATTAAGGGGTATTGGGCTCTCTGGGAACCTGGAATTGTCTGTGGTCCACTCAACGTTTTGTTGGGGCTGCAGATAACAGTAGAATACGAGCAGCGATGCCAAAGAAAGGCATCTCCACAAAAGCAACTTAACGGCCCACGGGCCCAGAAGCAGATAAGCATCAGCGCTTGATGGGAATACTCTATCTAACATGGTAAGCACCAACATGGTCCAGAATGCCCATTCAATAAAGGGGCCTTCATTAGAACAGGGCTCTTCGGAGAACAAACGTGGGTGTGAGACAGGTAGATAGATGGATAGGTAGGTAGGCAGGTGGATGGATAGATAGCTTGGTGGACTGCAAGGGAGTATATTGTTGCGAAATATTCAGTCAACCCCTAAACTCGAAACCTTAGACGCGTCGAGCCATGTGCCCGAGCGCCCAGCCCAATTGTCTCCGTGGCCCTTGTCGAGAGACTCCAGGCGGGGCAGCATGGACAAAGCCTGAGTGTGAGTTGGCGCTTAGTTTTTTTTTTTTCAGGGCCCTTTTTCCGTCTGCACTCCGCGTCTAGAAAGGCGTTTAGGGTTTAGGCACCAAGGTTTTAAGTGTGCGCTTGGGCTTCATCGCCCCTAATGGTCCATGTACTCGTATAGTACGGGGGCATGTAGCCCGCTTTTTAAAGAGCCGAACTGAGAGATTCAGAAAAGAAGGGACCGGACTGCAGGACCTTTTAAGACGACGATCCTTCTTCTAAGGACCCCGAATCCAGTACACTTAGTGTAAATTGAAACCCTAAACCCTAAACCCTAAACGGTTTAGGGTTTAGGGTTTAGGGGAAAACTGAGTGCCGAGCTCCAACCGGACATGCGTTGGTGCAGACTTCGCAGCCTCTGCCGCAGCACAGTTCAAAAGGGCTCCGAGTGTGTTGGGTTCAGGTTTTTAGGGCTTCGGGTTTAGGTTCAAGAAGGCTCCGAGTAATTACGGTTAAGGGTTTTTAGCGCTTTGGGTTTAGGTTCAAATGGGCTCCGAGTGTTTAGGGTTCACGGTTTGAGGGCTTTCCGGGGCCAGCCTCCAAGTCTTAGAATAGAAGGGCCTTAGTCATTGGAACCGGGACTTTGCTGTATAGTGTAATGAGGGGAACTCTAAACGGATGCTTTTACAAATTAGTCTGAGCAATATGTTTACCAATATCAGGACCCTAAACATTGCAACAAGATCTAGGTGTATGGCACACTACAAACACGAAAATGATGGCATAGACAGATATACACACACACACATATATATATATATATATATATAATGTATGTATGTACGCATTAAGTACCGGTTCAAAGCTACAATCGCTATATCCGACGACCCTGAAGGGCCCAATGCGATTAGGCAGGCAGGGTTTAAGACATAGCAGTAAAGTAAATCAGGGCATGGCGGACTGCATGGTTCATGATTATATAGATACTGGCTAGGACATCGAGGATTAATGTCACCATATGGGTAGTTGTCAACATTATGGATCCTTTTTGGGTACCCTACGTATTAGGCGCCGCAGTCAAATAAGGACGCGAAAAGGGACCATCATTTTGACAACCACCCATCCAGGAGCACCTCTAAGGCCAAAGGATAAAGCAAAACACATGAACCCTTGGAGCAAAACACATGAACCCTTGGAGACTTGCAGTTTGCCATCAGCTGATAAGGCTTAGGGTTTAGGGTTGAGGGTTTAGGAGTTTAGGGGTTTAGGGGTTTAGGGGTTTAGGGCTTTAGGGTTTAGGGTCTGCTGTGCTGCATCTTGCTTGTCCGTTTTCCTCAACGCCAACCCTAAACCCCTAAACCCAAAGAACTTGAATCCGAAACCGTGCTAAACAAAAGATGTGAGGCCGCCTACCAGGAAAAGAGGATGTAGCAAGATCGGAGCGTCTCCAGCGCTCTGACTGCTATGATTGCAACTATTATACCATGATTGCTATCACTACAACTACTACTACTACTACTACTACTACTACTACTACTACTACTACTACTACTACTACTACTGCTAGTATTAATTACTATCGTTATGACTTTTGCTATTATTAACCGCTATCACGAATACAGTTTTTAGTATAGTTTCAAACCATAAGATTATTCTGATCACAAACACTTCAAAACAATAATTCCTATTCTGAACTCAAAAACCCGAACAGGCCTGTGCAGTCATTGGGAGAGGCTTGGATGCGGAAGTGAAGTCCGGCGTAGGTGTTGCCACCTGCTCCGCGATTAGGGATACTCCACACATCTCCACACCCTCTTTTTCTTTTACAGAGTTCTGTATTTGCAATATAAAGGATGTTCCTGTATCGCCCCAATAAAGGTATGAAGATGGTCAGGGAAGCACGAGGTTTGGGCAAACCATTGCGGTCCTGAAAATAGAGCAGACCCTTAGATTCCTTAGATAAAGCATACCGGGGACCAGAAGGGATACGAGTGAAAACCCCTTAAGCTTGGTAAGGAACTTACCATAGTGTTGAACTATCATCCCCATTCCGCTAAGCTACATTCCATCAAGCCTGAACACAGAACCCGACACCAAAATGCAGAAGCCTGTCTTACCAAGCAACTTCTGATTGAACTGAGCCGTCAATCGAGGTGGACGAAGCAAGCTAGCCGATAAGCCGCCGTCAAACGTCTAACCAACCTGAACCTAAACACCCCAGGCTCCCTGCCGAAAATAGCCCTGGCCTGTTGCCTTGCGTGCATCGAAGGCATCTGGGGCCTTCGAAGATGAACAAGCTGCTTTCTGGCTTAACCAAGTGTTTAGGTCTGGAGTATATATTTCAGCCTTGAAGTACCAATGCCAATATTGGAACCGCTCTAGGGCGGGTACATGGACCATGCTGAGTTGTCGTTGTAGAGTTTCGAAGTAGGGCCGGCACACAAACAGACTGTTCATTTAAAAGCTTACATTAGGAGTAGAAGGAGACAAAGAGAGAGAGAGAGAGAGAGAGAGAGAGAGAGAGAGAGAGAGAGAGAGAGAGAGAGAGAGAGAGAGAGAGAGACAAACAGAGAGCGCGAGATAGAGAGGGAGAAAGAGAGAGAGAGAGAGAGAGAGAGAGAGATAGAGAGAGAGCGAGAGAGAGAGGAGAGAGAGAGAGAGAGAGACAAACAGAGAGCGCGAGATAGAGAGGGAGAAAGAGAGAGAGGGAGGGATAGAGAGAGAGAGATAGAGATCTAGAGACAGAGTTCATACGCATCAAATAGTGTGGTATGGCTTGCTTAAGTTAAGGGTTACTAATATTACATGATCTTTCAGTCATAAACTATTAAGAAACTATGAACCAGCAAAAAAGGAGCCTTCTTCAGCTCGGCATGCGAGAGCAGGAAGGGACGGATCACAGCGTGCGGGCAGATGGCGCTGCAAACGTTGCACTGGATGCACTTGTCCTGAACGTTGGGGGGTGGCTCAGGCTTTACAAGTTTAGTGTGCAGCGGTGTGGCGTTGAGCTCAGGTTTGTCAATGGAGGTCTGAAATATACCACCGATATATGCTTCAAACAGGACACTGAACATGCCGCAACGACACTTAACAGACCGGACACGCACAAGGGCCTTGTCTGGAGTAGGAAGCTGAGCTGGACGGCTTTAGGCTGCTGGGAAGCCTAGTACTCCACAGGTGCTGCCCACAAATGTCGGTGCAGGGCGTCTGCTTCCCTTTCTTGGCAACAGTCATAAGCAATATGTGTATTCAGCTGTTTGTGTTTCGATCCGTTCCTAACAGTTCTAACATTTTCAGCAGACCTTGGAAAGGACAGAAGGCTGGATTTCCTTGTACTTTCCTTGGGCTTCGTAGATGATAGCCACATGCAGCATGTAAAATCTAAGCTTGCAAGGCTGTTATACAGTTGAGCAGTTTGGTGTTTGTGAGATGCGGGTCGCGACAATGCTCCCATCCTTCCCGAACTCCGTAAATCCTAAGCCGACAGCACATATCACACTCCCAACCAGGAAGCGAGACGATCCTGTCGACTCAAACTTGAACGAGCTAATCCGAAAGCATTAAAGGGCTCTACGTTTCAGTGTAAGACTGAAGATGCTAAGTCATAACGTTTGTCTAGGCTTTGCAGCAGGCTACTATGTAGAGGTGACGACACTTTAACCCTCGAGCTGAAGCCTTTGACCCTCCGCCCTACACCCTAAACTATACTGAACTTAGAACCCTAGCAAAAAATTCAATTTTAGCTGTTTCTTAGGGATTATAATAACCAAAAATTAAAAAAAAATATTTCTAAGCACCCCTAAGTAAACCCTCCACCCTGCCGGTTTAGGCTTGCAGGGATCGCCTCCCCAAGTCCCGAATCCCCGTGCCACACCAACCAGAAACCCCGAGCAAACCACGTGTTATCTGTTACTATTACTTAGAGTGTGAAAACAGGGCCATTTCTATTGTATTATTCTTTTTGCCGTTTCTGCGATTATATGTATTAGTAAGATTATGTTTATTCGTGTTCTTGTTCTTCTTCATACTACTATTTTTGTTGTATCAATACTCTCATTTCTTCTTATTATTATTACTAGCTAGCTATTAGTTTAATAAGTCCCTCGTCTGAAACACCCCCCTTAATAATAACCACAAACATGGGCGAATCCTACCGAAATCACCCCCCCGCTGCCCTGAAAGACCTAATTTGAATTAGGGGGTTCGGAGCAAGAGCAAAGGCAAGAGCTGCCGCAAGAGCAAAAGCACGAGCAAGACTAAGAGCAATGCTGGAGGAAGAGCGAAGAGCAGCAGCAAGAGCAGGAGCAGGCGCAGGAGCTAGAGCAAGAGACGCAGCAGGAGCAAGAGCCCTCAAAAGTAACAGTGGAGAGTGACATACCCTAACCCTGGAAACACTTTCCGAGCTTTTATGGGGGGGGGCGTTTAACATTAGGGGGAAGGGATTGCTCTTGTGGCCATTATGGCTCTCATGGCTTTTGTTGATACCCGGCGGTCCATGTCCACAACCGGCACGGATTCGGCGACACCTCGCTTTGCATAGCCTCAGCTTTTCAATAACTGGGAGTTTCCGAAAATGGGGACCCTAATATATACTACCCTAAATAGTAGGATCCTAGTTATAGGGACCTCAAAAAAAGGTAGCCCCTAATTTTCGGAAACTCTGAACCCTAAACCCCTTATAGAACCCTTATAGACCCCCGTAAACGAACCCTTGCAGGATCCCTTTAAAGGTACCCCCTAAATTTTCGGAAACTGCCGTATCTGGGCTGGTGACAGTCTTCGGCCTCCCATGGTCACTGAGAGAAAAGATCTGAGCTGGCTCCGTCAGCCCCCTAATGTCGGAACCGATCTATATGGGTAGTTGTCAAAATTGTGGTCCCTTTTTGGGGGTACCCTAAATAATAAGTGCCGTATTACAATAAGGACCATAATTTTGATAACCGTCCATATAGGGCTGCTATAAAGGGGCCTTAATCTTATATTCGATCCCCACATACCCAACCTTTATAAACTTTTTGGGTCCTTGTGGTTTAGTCGGAACAGGAAAGTTTAACCTTTCACTTCTGTGGTTTTTTGATTAAATCCATCAACCCCTAAACCCTAATGTAGGAACTTGATTAAGAAACTCTTGGCCTATAACCCAAAAATAGAAGGATTCATATCAGAAACCCTAGTGAAGGCCCCAGGTTTCTTCATCAGGTTCCAACATAACCCCAGACCTGAAATCCCAACCTACTTTTTGGCCTTACCAGTTCGTGTAATTTAGCATCGCAAAAGGTAATCAAGAAAAGGAACGACAATGGAGACGATTGATAGGTAACCCCTCACCCTAAACCCTGAGCCCCTAAAGCCTTAAACCCTAAGCCCCTAAACCTTGAACCCAAACCTCCACTTGGCAAATTAAGCTTTATGAGGTTTTTCGGACCTACAATTCAGATGTGTTGCCTAGGACTCACGAAATAAGTTCGGATGCTTCAATTGCACTTCGGCCTTAAACCGCCTAAACCACAGAAGCCGGACCAGACTGAAACCCGAAACCCTGAATCCTAATCCCTAAACTCCAACCCCAAACCCTATATACCTGTACAGAAATCCCAGGACTCCATGTCGGACCTTTGTGTAGAACCTTTCTTGAACAGAGACACCAAGATCCTGAACCCTCATGCCCAAATTCAGAAACCTTCATCGCTGAATTCCTAACCCCTCGCCCTAGAATCCTTTACCCCTGAATCCTACTGGCCTCCCACACCCTTCTGTGGAATCCTCCCACGACCCCATGGAACATGTTGACAAAATAAAGCCCCCGGCGAAACATGAACACAACAAGTAAACTCTAATGAAACCCTAACCGCTTTTACGAGTAAACTCTAAACCTCTAACCTCCTATTATAAACCCCAACCAACAAAAAACACAGAAACCTTAAGCGTTAACCCCAAATCAACAGGGGGGTTTAAGATTCTTGGAGTAAGGATTCCTGAATATGACCCCTATTATGGGAACCCTAATCCCTGATAAACCCCACATGTTCAAACCCCTTTTGGCCTCCTATGATGAACCCCCCTAAACCCTGAACCCTAACAATACCTAACACAGAAACCTTAAGGGTTAACCCTAAACCCTATACCCGAACCCTACTTTGCGCCGGGTGGCGCGTCTGCGAGAGCGGCACGCAACCATCTGCCTCGACCTCCGACACCTTGAGCCTCGGCTCTTGGTTTAGGGTTTAGGGTCTAAGGTTTGGGGTTTGGGATTGAGGGTCTAGGGTCTTGAGGGGTTTAGGGTTTAATTAGGTTTTAAGGTTTAGGGTTTATGGTTCAGGGTCCAAGGTTTAGGGTCTAGGGTTTAGGGTCTTGAGGGGTTTAGGGTTGAGGGTCTAGGGTTGAGGGTTTGAGGTTTAGGGCCTAGGGTTTAGAGTTTGTTTTTAGGCCCTTTAAAGTGAAAGGATGAAATACTAACATTTCTGTGCTTCTATTATTCTCTTTATCGTTCGTGCTGTTCTTGTTTCCTTGCTGTTCTTGCTGTTTTAGATCTGTAAGACTTCTGTAGGGGGTCCGCAAGAGAGCTTACGGTTGTAGGTGTTTGGGGCTGCTTGGTTGGCACTGCGGATTGGGGCGTAGGGTTTAAGGTTGACAAGCGATACAATTAATCAACATATTATCAAAAGCAAAGACAAACAATGATAATTATTAGGAATAGTGACGGTATTGTACTGGCAGTCGAAATAATGGTCGTAGCGATAGTACAAATAGTAGTAATTAGTAATAGTGACAGTATTAATGGCAGTAATGGTACCAGTACTAGTAATACTGATACGAGTAATATAGTAAGAGTAATCGTGATCGTAACAGTAATGGTAACGGCAACGGCAATGGTTACTAGAATAATAGCAAAAGAAACAGCAATCGCAATAGCGACAGTTATAGCAACGGTCATCGCAATAGTGCTAGCAATAGTCATAGTATTGGTGGTGGTGATGGTAGTAGTATTGGTAACGGTAATGGTAGCAGTAGTAGCAATAGGAATAACAAGCGCAATAGAACCAGGCAGCAATGTCAAGAAAACAAGAAGAACATACATACTACAACGAAGCAATGATAAACATGACGCTCATGCCAGTAAGTAATATGATTGAGGTGGCTATTGTAATTCTGTCCTTGTGCGGCGGACTACATGGTCATGAAAGTACGACTAGAGCAGCAATGTACGCTGGTTCTCTTCAGTTTTATCGGCCATGGACCTTCCGGCCCATGTTCGATCATAGTTGAGACTCTACGGACACTAGACAAGCCGTCCCGCACTTGCATTGAGGCTAAAAATCAAACAAGTCTTAGCAACTTACCTTCTGCTGGCGTCCTGGACCCTACAGTTTTTACCGTACCCACAAAGCCCATAACACACTCTAGAACATTAACGCAGGAACTTGATTAAGAAACCTTGGGCGTTTATTAGGGTTGCTTTTATGAATCCGACTATATTGAAGTTTTAGGGTCCAGGATTTCTTAACCAGATTCCTACATTAACCCCGAATCAAAACCTAAGCCCCGAACTTTCGTCCGTTAAACAAACCTTCAACCCTAAACCCTAAACCCCCAAACCCCTAAACCCTAAACCCTAAACCCCTAAACCCTAAACCCCTAAACCCTAAACCCTGAAACCCTAATCCCTGAAACCCCTAAACCCCTAAACCCCAAACCCTAAACCCCTAAACCCTAAACCCTAAACCCCTAAACCCTAAACCCCAAACCCTAAACCCTAAACCCTAAACCCCTAAACCCTAAACCCTAAACCCCAAACCCTAAACCCTAAACCCTAAACCCTAAACCCTGAAACCTGGAAGGCCCGGCGGAAATGCAGCCGCGTTGCTCGTGGCCTCGCATCGTCTGGACCTGTGAGAGCAAAGGAACCCAGAGAGCTCCGGGGTTTTTGGGTTTAGGGTTTAGGGGTTTAGGGTTTCTTGTTCAGGGCCAGGGTTTCCCAGAGAGCCCAATACCCCTTGATTAAGGGATACAGCTTAAATCATAACATCAACCCCCGAATAATTTAAGCCATATTCCTTAATTAAGGGGTATTGGGCTCTCTGGGAAGCAACAGCAACGGCTTCGTTTGCTTTGGAGGCCTTGCTTTTCATGTAGGGTTTAGGGTTTAGGGTATTTGCCCTGTCCCCTCAACCCCTAGGCATTTTTTATTTAGGGTTTAGGGTTTAGGGTATTTTGCTCTAACCCCTCACAACCCCTAAACCCTCAACCCCAACTTTCCTAAACCTCCAAGGGAAAAAGGAGAGAGACCCTTAATAAGGACCCCTAGGTATATACCCTTCATATAGCCATTATATGCCCATTATATAGCCCATTATGGGGTAGGGGTCCCCCTTAAGAGTCCCTCCTTTTCCCCTTTGATAAACCCAACGAAGGCCTCAGGCTGTTAGGGCTTTCCTCTCGTCGGTGGGTTTTTACTCCATGTGCCTTCTGTGGGCACATCCATCGGGCTCTCAGGACTCATATGGGTGGTTGTCAAAACTATGGTCCCTTTTTGAATACCCTAAATATTAGGTTTCGTATAGTATTATAGTAAGGACCCAGAAAGGGACCCTAATATTGACAACCACCCATATAGTAAGGCTTTTCGGCCCAAAGACCATACTAAAAGAGGCTTTTGGGCTATTTTGAGCCCAGGGCGCGGGCTTCAGAGGTCAGGGCTCGGAGCTTTCGGCATGTCCCGAAAAAGTCGTCGGGTGCTGAAGACTTGCGGGATTCACTGAAGCATAAATCCTCGCGAAATACGCCTTGAGGGTTTTGGGCGTTGTTTTGGTTGAGGACCTGTTTCCATCGGCAGTTTAGGGTTTAGGGGTTTAGGGTTTAGGGTGTTTCTTTGTTGAGGACCTTTGTCCACCGGCAGTACAGGTGGAGAGCTCCAATGGAGCAGGCTTCTGTCCAGACCCTCTAGTTCAGACGAAGGTTGTAGGGTTTCAGGCTTAGGCATCTGGGGGTTTCCCAAAATAGGGGACCCTAATATGGCACCCGAAACAGGAGGATTCTTATGATAAGTACCCAAAATAAGGCACCCCTAATTTCTCTGAAACTCCCATCTGACGGTATGCTGGAAAGCTAAAGGAGCCCGTCGACCCTAAACACCTCCCACACCCTGAACACCCTGAACCCAAAACCCCAAGTCCAAACCCTAAACCCCAAAACCCCCCAAACCCCTCCCTCGACCCTAAACTCAGAAAAAATGATCCGAAACCCCTTCCGGAATAGATGAGGGAAGAGGGAAGAGCAGGAACTTCAAGGGGCTTACAATACCATAGTTTTATATATACTAGAATGTATTCTGAATTCCTGTATACTGTAATATGGACTACAATTTTGATGGGAGGCTAAAAGGGGGGTTTAAGATTCTTGGGGTCGGGAGTCCTTAATATGAACCCTGTTATGGGAACGCTAATCCCTACTAAACCCCCATAGGCTAAAACCCCTTTTGGCCTCCTATGAAATTTACG